GCAGCTCAGCGAACAGATAATGGTAATCATCTTCTTCAAGTATGCTCAGATAACCGTTTCTCTTTAGCAAGTACCAACTTTAAACATAAGGAAAGCATTGTCTGACCAGGTGACCCCCGAAAAACCGTCAAGGAAACGGTTATTTAAATTCCGGTTCTTAATGAAACTATCTCAAATAAAGATGGATGATATTATTCACTCTTGATCCAGGAGAATGGACCGATATGCAGAACACTTTAGAAAACAGTTCCAGTTACCTTTAGTCACACCTCAGTTACCCATCATCTTCAAGCATCCTGAATGGAAAATTGATTTAAGTTGAGAAGGCTACATACAATCTCAAGCAAGAGAGAGCGTCTAACTCTGATGGACTAACCACTGAGATTTTTAAGGATGGTGGTCCAGTTTCAGCAATTAAATTAACTGAAATCTTAGTTAGAGTGTTAGACCTGGACGTAATCCCATCTGGCTGGTCACAATTCATGATCGTTCTAGTCTCTAAGGAAGGACGAAAATCCCCTTGTGATAATCACAGAGGAATCAGTTTAATCAATATAGTGTCTAAAATATTAGCCGCAATCCTACCATAAATAATTCCTGGGACAAAATAACTCAATAACAATAAAATAAAGGAATAATGTCGAGAAAACGAAGTCAAATTTAAGGATAACTTGTGTAATTACATAATATTATTTAAAATAATATCACCTTATGCTTCACATTTTCGATATCGTTTGTAAAGTTCTTACTACATTAAATACAGTAATTTTTTAGTTTACTACTCTGTACATTTCATGATTTAGATTCAATATTGTGTTGTATGGATGAAATTCCATTCATATCAATCTGTTGTAGTTTTGTAAAGTATTAACAGATAGAGTCGTGATGGCACATACTAGAACATAAAAACCGATCAATACTTATTTGATTGAGGTCAATTTGTAACGTAGGCCATAAAAGGGAACTATTCCCATAACTTCATCTCAACATTTACACAAGCTGTTTACCTTATTTAACAACACCTCATAACTTGGAAGAATAATAGAAGGAAAATGTATTCTTGTTTTCAGAAATAATACTCTGCACCTTTATTAATGGAATCAATGAGAAAATCTCAGGAAGCCTAGTAGTGAATCTTGGTGAACAGCTCAGTAGGCAGGAGGAAAAGTGAATAAAATTGTTTCATTTAACAGTTAATTTATTGTCTTCACTTTAAGCCCGGCTAATTATCACATCACTTATTCGCCAATCGGAATACGACTTATTCAATTTTAGCACTGCGCCAAACCAATGACGTCCGACCGGTATGAGGAGCCTGGAATCCTTATTGGTCCTCTTTCCTCCTAGCCGTGCCAGTTGAGTTCAGAACACCAATAACAGCTTCAATTATGTAAATTATTTATTTCAAACATATCCGGTTTGTATACAAGCCGAATGAATTACATCACACCATAAGATAGGAAAAAACATCTGTACCAGATCAAGCCAAAAAGTGACTGTGAACGTGGGAGACAGTAATTAGTAAGCTGACTATGATTTAAGAACAGTAAATCGTATAATAATAGTCTATAGGTCAAAATGAAGCTTATAATAAAATGAAGATAGATATACATAATGCAGTAACTGAATAGTTATACAATAAGAATATATATAATATTAGTCCACTGATAGTTCACAGAAGCTACCTATAATCTAATCTTCACTAGGATATAACACTTATGTATTTTTTCATGTCATACTTTATTTAAACAGATTGGAAAAGTTTGTATTTTGTCTGCGTAGAAGACCATAACTGATCAGTTTCTGCTAACAAACCATACTTTGACATTGCCATGTATTCACAACTTAGGTCCTTTTAAAGAGCGAGCTAAACCAGGCACCTTGAATTTTGAAAGAAGTCAACCCATTTTTCTCACTTACAATAATACCTTAAATACCGAACAAATGTATCTTGTATGTTTTTTAACACTTGTTGACTTTGGAAGTATTCATTGTGACTACTGAATAAATAAAAGTAAGCAAACGTTTGCCGTAAGATATTCCAAACTGTCGTTCGGATCGAAAGCTTCAAGTGCATGAAAGTTTGGAATAGATTCCTCTCCCTTTAAATGAAAAAGTTTTATTCACGACTGATCTATATCAGCGTCTAAATTAATCATAGGACATAGAGTGGGAGATATTGCTGACTAATTAACTTATTTTTAAAGTCTCACCAGCACTATTTATATTTATTATCTTGAACTACATCTTTAGTTTCAATATGGTTTCTTTTACGAATTCACTTTGTCATTCAAAACTAATTCTTTATATTTAGTCTCTTTTTTGTTGTCATTACTATCATTGTTGTTCTTGTTTATTTCATTTAGCTCTGATATCATGAGGCAACTTGGATTAGTGCTTATTTCGTTCAAGTCCTTTCTTGATAACTATTGGACTCGGCAAACGTAATTTTAGCTTCTTTCTTGATAGTTAAATCAAAAATAATAAATTTGTACATTCCCATCTATTGAATAACAATTAGTCAAATTGAAGTATACTATGCTGCTGTACAAGTGATTATAACATAACAAACCAATACAGATAAGTGTATCAGACTTTGAGCCACATATACATTTTCTAGACAGTAGTAATGTGCTCTAGTAGTCCAGATCTCAACGGATATAGTATTTTTAAAATCACTAACCAAATAGTTGGAAATCTCTTCCCTAGTAAATTTGGTAGCAACGGTGATTTTTAGTTTAATCGTGATACAAACTATTAAAAGTTCGACATATCTCAACGGCTTTGAAAAGTATATATATATATATATATATATACATATATATATATATATATATATATATATATATATATATATATATATAATAGTACGCTTAACCACGCCTTTACAAAACATATTCAATTGGACAATCAGGATATAACTAATCAGACAGTTAACATACATATGGATAATCAGTCATGCGCTTATCGTAAGCAAGTACACTTGTTGATAATTTATGCATAAAACTGAACTGTAATCAGATTATCAATTAACAGTCACTTTATGTGACACAAATGTTATAGTGAAACTTGGTCAATATAGTCATTAAAATGATGAGAAATGCACGAAGTCGATTTGAACTCATTGATCCACAATTAGTTAAGCGAAATGCATGTTATTTAAGGTGATTCTGTACAGATTGCAGATAATCACCCTCCCCATCCTGGACTCCAATAGAATAGAACAGAAAACCAAACGACACTGGTGCTTCGTTCTAGTCTAGGACTATATCAGAAATGTGCACTAGCAGTCTAACGTAAAACTGAATTAGGTATCTTCTTGTCATATAATAAGACACTGTTGAGTTTCTAAATTAGAATTCATCAGTTAGTAGTTTCAACTTCAAAAAAATTGTAGCCAATCGCATTTTCGATAAATTCTCTTCAGGTTCTACAATTATATATCCAAATTAATAATCCACTAGATCGAATTGTAATAGCATTATCATATCTCTCTCACCCTACCTGACCCATATTTATTCTGATCACAGATCTTAAATTTTCACTTTACATATATACAGATTCAAGTTAACATTCTATATGAGTCATATCAACATTAACTATTTGGTTTGACAATCCTAAATTTACATGCTTTAAACGATGTACTTTGCCTTTAACCTGGCCATTTTTTTCGGATTATTAATTTGGATATATAATTGTAGAACCTGAAGAGAATTTATCGAAAAGAATATTCTTCGTTCAAATATTAGTCTTTTAATATGATTGGGATTTTTAAAAAATCGCATTTTTATTCGTTTTTCTCGCTAAAGTTCAACTACAGATAATTCACATATATCGTTGCTCTTTTATTATCCATAATTAACTGATCTCTTCCTTACTGTAAATTAGACGGCTTTAAAATCCAAATATCTTCAAATAGTAATGATTACATGAGTTTCTATCAAACAATCTACATGTGCCTAAGATTTGAAATGAATAAATTGGTCCTGTAAACGGTTTAACAGATGAAACAATGAGAATAGATGTTGTGTAAAAATGGTTAGCATGTCAGAAATCATTTATTTGACTTTATCAGATAAAAAAAAGTGTTGCCAAAATACATTATAGATGATCAACAAGCAATGTTACACTACCTTGTGTGATTTTTATTTAATATTCGATGTTAACAATACTTTCAATCAAGTAACCGAATTACTTAGGCCTTAATACTACTACGGTTTAGTAGTTGGGAAGAAACGACTATTTCAGAATTATGAAGGAAATTAATCATCACCCGATATTAACGAAATCAATTAATAGGACAATTCACTTAGATAGTAAACGGTGATTATTTCAATTAGATAGGTTTTCATTTAAAGACTCATCAAATCATCAGAAAAAACCTAGATACCACAGAATAGTTGTAAACCATATAAGTTCTATAATGATGTTCTTAAATAAATCGTGAAAGAAAATTCAAATGATTCTTGATGTGAACAGAACGGGAGCTATTTTGGGGGATCTTATTTCACTTAATTCAAAGTTGTGAAATACGAACTTATTTTTGTCCCTAATTTACTCTATAAACAATAAGCTTTCGTTTAATGAATGACTCACTACCAAATCAATTTCCATTGCAATCCATTGTGATTTCAACGTAACATATTGTTCTCTATTTTTCTACCGCAATCCCCAGTTTGGACGCAATTGTATTTTTCTATTTGTTTGTGCGTTGTGGTCATGTTAGTCATCTATTAATTTGTTTATCTTTTACACTAATCGAAATCAGGAATACACCGAGTAGTGTTTAAGTTGAATGCTCTTCACTCTCGCTTGTCAGCCAATCAGGTAATAGAGTAGATTTCGTCACTCTGTTCAGGGCCGTTCCAGTTCCATTCGGACTCACACATTCCTAGCCCCAAGGTTGAACTAGTTCGCCTATCGTGTCAAGGCCTCAAATTAGATCGAAATAAGTTTTCTCCTGAATATTGTTGAGTAGATAGATCAAGGACGTGATAATTCTCAAGAAAAGGTCACTTAACATTCAAGCCGAAAATACTTTAAAGGCTTAATTAAAAAGGTATCAAATCAATTTCACTTGAACAAATTGACAAACAGAATAATCATATATAAAAACAATAAACGCCAACAACAGCTACTAGCATCTAAAAATTGATTACTACATAAAATTCAATTAATTTTATCCGCACAAATTGTGGAAGGATTTCCATGTGCTAAAGACAAAAATTAAAGTAATTACGATCGGTTAAAGAATAGTAATAATAGTCAGTAACAGTAGTAGTCTTCGCTACTCTGGTCACGTTTATTTTCGTTTACTTGGTAATTGTTTCAAAGAAAACAACGGGTTTTTATTCAAAAATAACATTTTTTTGCTTATTTCTTAAAGAAAATGGAAGACGACCATCTTAAAGATTTTTTTAAAAAAAAATAACAACAGTAAAACAAGTACAAGTAGTTTAGGGAGATAAAAATTTCGTGTTTAAGCATCTGATCATATTGACAGCTAACACAGCAAATATTGGAATAGTCATTAATCAATCAAGAAATGAAATTTTAAAAAAAGCGTCAAACTTGAAATTATAGATTCAAAAATAGTATATAGTGTATACAGATTAAAGAATATGATAATATAATAACGAAACTATTTGTAATGTGGAAACTGATTCCTGTTGTAGAGGCAAAAGATATTTTGTCACTTAATTCGATAATTGATATGCATATGCTTCGAACTGTCATCATTACAAGTTATATATATGATTGTATTACCCAAGGAGAATCACAACTCTCTTGTACAATATTATAAACTGATACAATAAACTAGCGAACATGAATACTAAATAATTAATATAGTTGGAATGTATTAGGTCACTAAGGAAAATTAATAATTTTTATACTTTTTTTTAAAGTATACAAAAATAAACAAGTTGGTTTATGAAGGAAGTTGAAATCTTTGGTGCAGTGTACACACACACACACACAACAAACAGTATTGAGAACGATCTAGTGAAATCATTTAAACATACATCCATTGTTCACTTACGTCGTTGTACATTAGAGATACACATGAAGCCGAATATAGATGAAGTTGGTAAATGGATACATATGTATGTAAGATCATGCATAACAAAAAAATGTTTATTGTTTACAAAATTGTAATAAATAGGAATATTATAGTTTCTTTTGACAAACAAAACAAAACACATGAATGATTTGTATCAGGAAATGTATGATAGAGGATTTAGAAAAAGTTACCAATATCAAATGATAGGAGAGGAGAATTACACATTTAATTCATAAATAAACTACTATTACTACTTATAAATGAAAAAAGTAGTAATCAGAAGTATTACAAACATAATCAATCAATAGGGGTATTCATAAATTCAGCAGTTTTTAATTGTTTGAAAAAAAACTTCGAAAAAAGTGGAAGAGTACTGATAATAATTTCTGTTGAGTAGGAAAAAAAAAACAGACACACTCATAGTTGAACACAAATCGATTATTCTACATAACAGTTACATTATCAGTATCTAATTCTAATGTAGAATTATTCGACTTGGAGTTAGCATCAGGTGGTGGGGGTCGTTTAGGCGGTAGATCTCTACTCAGTTTCATTTCTTGAATAGTTGGTGACGTGATCATTTGTGATGGTAATGACAATTTGTGAATATGATCATTAGGTGTTAATTCTGTGCAGCTAGTGGTTGAGCTATTGATAAGTTGTGGAAGACTTTCATGATGAGAATGATGAACTGATACTTCTGAATTACTACTGCAACAAATGCTGTTATTATCACCATCATTTCTGTTTTCCGTGTCAATACCAGAGGGATTTTCCGATCTTTCAGGATCATTATTACTCACATGAGTTATTGAATGATTGGTTGGGTTTAAAAGAACTGGTGGTTTTGGAGCAGCATTTTTCTTTCGTTGAAGTATAGGAGTAGTACTTAAATTTGACATCCTTGTAAGAAACATAAACAAAATTAAACAACAACAAAAAGGTAATTTAATGCTGTGAAGAAAATGACACGAGTATGAAGAAAACTAAATATACTCACTCAAATACTATATACATATGCCAGAGAAACTTCTGAGCTGATTGCCAGATTCTTAGTTTTCATTCGAGACAGTGTTTTGGAAGGAATACCTGTGAGATCATTCATGAGTGACGACAGTCCTAGCATAAACAATCTACGAACTTTACGGAAGTGCACCATATATCATGTCAAATACATACAATACGTTATGTTCTTTGGCGCGTACGTTTACTGTGTTTAACTAAAAACTTACTCATAGGATATTTCATCTGAAACATCTCAAATGTTTCTTTCTCTGAACGGCAAATATAAAACCACTCCAATATATAAATTTGTTTGGATTCCACTGTTACTTGAATGATATTCAAGAAGACAGTCCGATATTTGTCAACTAATTTACAAAACAACATTCCTCACAAAAAAGAAAAGTGGACCAGGGAGTTCAAACCAAGAGGAATGCTGTTAATATACATAAACACGAACTTTCTGAAATCAATGCACAGGATAATCAAAATGTAAAACCCTAATCGTAAATGTCCGATTTTGGGCTGTGTCTATTTTTAAAAATTGGTTACTTGCTACGTGCTAGGTTGCATAAAACAAGGAAAGAAATGTCTAGGAAAGTCGTTTTATACACCAGTCCTGAATTACCAGAAGTAAAAAGCCGTATTAGTTCAAAGGCATGTCAGTTACTGAAAACTGGGATGCGTACAGAAGTTTGTCAAACGATCAGGTTATCAGAAAACACCTTTACAGTTAAAGATAGCACGAGGAGGTATACTGCAGATACGGATGTTATACAATACAATTGCTTTTCTATATATGAAATGAAATCTTAATAAATAATCAAGAATTTTTGTTAGTAGGCAACTATATTTTACATAATTTATCTAGTTCCATGGCTGCACCGGTGGATCCAAGTTCAATTTCTGAATTTTATTCACAAGTTGTATTTAATACAACTGACCATTAGTGTAACAACACTGGCGAAACATTCATTTCCGTAGACCAAGAAACGGAAAAAATCAACAGTAGAAATGATGGTTTCAAAAATGTAGATCTGAATGTTCCTATATCCAGTGATAACAATGAAGACAGGGGTGAAGCGAACGTGTATATGCAAGTGAATTATGAAATCCCTGAGCCTGGTGAAGAAACTAACGATGAAAATGTTGATATTTGTGATAAATAATGTTTGTTCCAGCCGCAAGCGTCGAAAACGGTCCTAGTGAATGGGTCAGATGTTCAAGATGAAGCACATTCAGTCATCTTGTCAGTCCTGCAAGGATCGCTGGAGATGACCTCCTGTGTAGGGAATTCTACGGCTATGATAAATAGTCATGGGTTCTGTAAGTGGGTACCACACGTAATGATACATTTTCATTGTAGATGTCAACAAGCATTCAATGAGAACGCAAAATGACGCTTTCTAGGCCCTTCTCAAAAAACTGATTTAAAACTTCGGCCTTTTTTTCATTCAATGTATTAACAATAAGCCGGTCAATCGATAGAAATAACTATGTAGTAAGCTTCTTACTAAGTGCGCACCACATATAGCATACAAAAGATCAAGTATAATTGCCTAATAATAAGTATGAATTTCTGTATTAATGACCTTTACATAATATTTTGTTTTGATTGTGATCAGTAAGTTTCCAAGACAGATTAAAGTATTTAATGTTAAGCAGTTGACCTGTATCAGACAGTAAACATAAGTCATTCTACGTCTGAGACAATTCCGATTTTATTTATTGTCTGTTTAACATGATTTTTATATTTTCGTTTATACATTATCGACACCTCATTTCACCACTGAATTCAAACTAGTGACGTTAACAAAATATATGCATACAATTGGAAGAACACGTTACATGATTACATTCAATGATTCATTCGGTGTTTTAACGAAATGAGAATTGTATATTGAATTTTTGATGAAATTAACAACAGCTTACAATTGAATATTACATTACACATGGTAAAAGTATATATAATTGCGATTGTCCCTATACACATAACTAACTGTTGAACATGTTTGGACAAGAGTCCAACATCAACTTGTGTTAAGCCTTATATATCGTGGACAATTACCATTTTTATTATTGAACAGTTAGACCACTGAAAAAAAGTTAAACACCATTACTTATCTTATTTACTATTAATTAAAGCTTGTTACTTGGAGAACATATTTTTCCAAATAAATGAACCGACTGAGACAACTGTTTATAAACCTACGATAGAACCATGAAAATGGAGCATTACTGACAGAACCCACCCAATCAAATTAGAATAAAATAGTGGGTATTAGTGAAACAGTGATTACATAATTCGTATGAATCACACAGTAAGGTTAGAATGGACCCATCACGTGAGTAGTTTTTTAAAGACAAAAAAGAGAAATATATTTCATTTCCCATCACATCCCTAAACTTCAATTAACAGCACGCAGTCTAGGAAATACTGGAAATTTTTTTAACAACGATACGTAAATAATCGCTATCTATTCTAAAAGACACGAGAAATAGAGAGCGCATTATTGAAAGTCACTATTAAAAAGAGGCTTTTTAATAAGAGCAACCATCGAAAAGGCGCATTTTATTAAAGGCAACCGTTGAAAGGGGGAATAACATTTTTAAGGTCATGAAATCTGTCCAATTTTCACTGTCCCTTTGCCTATACAATAAAACAAAAACGTAGTTTTCTAGACGTCTAATGGAGAGTCTACTCTCAAAAAATACTGTAACTATTCAAATTTGGTAACAATTTGTTATTGTTGTTACTCCAGTCATCTTATCTCGTGTCCATTTTGAACACTTTCGGGATAGTCACTTTAGAGGTATGCTTATGTTGAAAGCGTGAGTCTTATGTGTTTAGGATTCCCAACAGAATAAAAGTTTATTAGACTACCTTAGGTGACCGGAAATGTTAAACCATAACTACGATTAGATATTTGTAATGAAAATGTATGATCAACAGAATACAAGGTCCAGCAGCTTCATCAATATAAGCGGCATATCAAATAGTGACTTCAGTGTCAACTGGCTCATCGTATGAAGTATCAGCTCAATTTCCATTTGTCAATCTAAGGAAACAGAACGTGCAACTTGACGGTCAAGAGATCTTATCAAACCCAATTTCCCTGGATGTACTAGATTTATCCTTTGAGTACAAGACAAGTGTGAAGGTGGAAAATTTCCTTCCTCATGACAGTGGGCCACATTAAAAAACGAATTCTAATATTTTATACATCTGAAAAGTTGGTTTCTTAATGATCAAGTATATGAGGTCTATTGGAAACTATAGACAATTAAAAGAACTAAGAATTGCTAACATACCAAGAGTAAGAACAAAGATTTAAGCAGAATAAAATTAATGTAGTTTATTTTGTTAGGTTCTCATAAGTTGATACAATGTGAAATACTAAAAAACGAAAATTACGAAGTGGGTTCAAAGTAAACACATAAATTAGTATGGTTAGAATTTGTTTTCATCACACATCAGATCTGACTTACGATACTTAAATTATTGTTCTTACTGTCTTTAAAGAACGGAACTAAATACACAAAACACAGGAACAGTTATTTATCTCAACATTTAAGACTCTTAGCTATACTATCAAATCATGTGCATCATCAACTGAGTCAAGGTCGACAGAACTAGTACAGCTGTTAAATGACACGATTACATTGATTTTTTTTCTGGCTGTTCATCCATCTTGTTTATTTTTTACTGCTATACACTATGTGAAATGAAATACGTACATTTAAATCATTGATCGACAAGGTGTAGAAGTTTGCTCACTTCTGATCTTGATTGGTTACATTACATGACCCATCATTGAATAAGTGTGAATCATTCAACCATATTGCAACTGCAATTATATGTTGGTTAGAGAGACACATAAGGAATTGTAACTCTGATAAGTAATAATTCTTCAAATAAAGAGATCAGATGTTATTAACTGATATTTCTGAAGTTCAGTGAGACACAAATTATTGGGGAAGCAAAGGAGCAACTACACTTACAAATTCGCGTTATCCAGTGAAATTTACTGGGATTTCTATATTAATTCAGTCAATAATCATATAAAGACCGTAGATTCATATTCTTCAACGATGATTCTATCGATAACTAATAACAAGAACATACAAGTAAGAATGGAAAACACAATATTTTTAGAAATAAGTTATTAAGGTAATCTAGTACCTGGAAGTTATAGCAGACTGAGTTGAATGACAAGTAGGAACACCGGAATCATGGTCAACACCAACAGGTTTTTTGGGAACAATTAATTGGTTAACATTCTGAGATGATTGTTCATTTAATGCTATGGTACTGCTATCTAGTCCATGGGAAACACCAGTGCCGGAATTCGACGACTTCAATGAAGTTACAGAACCAGTGACAGATGGACGATGTGAAGGAACTTTTATTCCGAAATAGGTTGGAACATGAGTTAGACGAAACGAGGCTGTCAAGCAAAAAGTAATCGAATAAAAATATGGACAAACACTCTAACAGTTACAAGCGTGAAGAAATTTCATTTTCAATTAACTTAATATATCAAATATAACACACGATCTATTCAATTTCTTGGCTAATGCGATTAATAGAAAAAGATCTATAAAAACTAATCAAGAGGAAAATTGTAAGATAAACTGTAGTACATAGTATAAATAAAATATTAGGTAAGAAAATTTGATGTAAGCCAGTGTGGACTCAAACATATATATATATATATATATATATATATATATATATATTCAGCTTTGATTAGACCAATAGTATTAGGGTAGAGCGTCCATAGAACGCTGATGTATTTACCTGGAATACCTTTAATAATTGATTGCTGTAAAGAGAATCAGGGATGTATTTTGACGAAAAGTAAATAACAAACAGAGATAGATTAAGCTACTGTCTAGTGCTTTTTATTCTTCGTATTCCTTCAGATGATGCAAGAAATAATAACTAAATTCCATTAAATCATTAAAATCAGCACTAACAATTTCTGATACGAAATCGCTGTCAGAATTGAAAGTCATGGGTTAAGCCCTAGTGAGGCTGTAAATGTGTACTGAATAAATGTGTTCAATACTATGATAAAACAGATGTCTAATGTTGCCTGGTTTTCAATATTTGTGCAACCGAAGTTAGATCATGTAGTGAAACTTCAAATTCTATAATCAATTAGGTTAGTTCATTATTGTAAAACTACAGAATTATGTATGAAGTAATGTATCAAATCAGTCGTTACCTTGTTCTTGACCAAATAACTGTTCTGCATTTTGAATAAGAATATCTACTAAGTGAATTCCTGGACCATTGCTTTGTAAGAAATCTAAAGATTTTCCTCTGAATACAAAAATAATAAAATTGATTGAATATGGTGTTATAACATTTCATTAATAATAACAGACAATGAATGATAAAATGGTGATGTATTTGTAATATCCTAATCGGTGAAAAATCGAATTCTTACATTTTGCTGCTGTATAAGTTTTATTATCATAAGACATATCCACTCAATGCTTAATTTATTTCTAAATTAAAAACTTAAACTCAAGTAAACCAAAATGGTTTTGAAGAAAAAACATTTATAAATGTATGAAAGACGAAGAAAATTTCCCTGTCCATTGAGTTTTTAAAGATAAATTATGATTCAATTGAAGCTAGACCACCATGGAAAACCTGGAAGCACTGGACGACCGTTTCGTCCGATTGTGGGACTCCTCAGCAGTGCGCATCCACGATCCCGCCTCGCGAGATTCGAACCCAGGACCTACCAGTCTCGCGCCAGAGCACACAATCCCTTCTGAAAAACAAATTAGTCAAAAGACCATAAACTTAGTTCCACTTTTTTAAATTGTAAAGTGAGCAGAAATGAAGAATTGAGCACAATGACATGAACCTATTTTATTTTGTTAGCTTCTCATCGGCTGTTTACAACCTATATTTTAAAATCAAAGTTATCATATAAGTTAAAAAATGAATGACGGTGAAATCGGTTAGATGTTGTTATGTATCGTCATGGTGGAATGGTGATTCTAATAAATGTGATGAAATTGAACAAATGGACTGTTGTAAATAAATAGAATACGTGAGAGAAGACTCTGGATCAGCAAATATGATAATAAGTGATCACAAAGCTAAAAAATAACTGATTATGTAATGAGGTAGCTAAACACATTAATAGTTCGTTAAGACTAACATGAATTGACATCAGTCAATTAAAAATTAAATTATCCCAAATTAGAGAAAAAGTTGAAAGAACGATGAGATAAACTGACGATAACGTCATTATGGTGAAAACATTATGAATTTTACGTGTATAGACACTGGGTTCGAATCCCTACATAAATATCAGCACTGAAATGTAGGAACATCAAACTGACAAACCCTGACCAAGTGCAAATGCACAGTATGGATTTCATTCCTAATCATTATTCCAACCCTTAAAGGAATATGACAATAACAACTTTACTCATAAAATATTGTTACCTCAACTAAGCAGAAGTCATATGGTTATATATGGTAGAACAAAACAGTATTTTCGGTACTCAGATGAATAGATTATGCTGAATAACAATTTAACTGCAAAGTAACAAATCAAGTTGACTAATCACATACACAAAATGAACAAAAACGTACGAATAAACTGAAAACAGAAACTTAATCACAAAATAGAAATGGAAATCATTTTTATGTGAGTTACATTGTAAATAAGACTATATATATATATATATATATATATATATATATATATATATATATACCATATTTTAAGCTACATAGTTACTCTGACCTTAAATAACGAGACTATAATCAATCACACTTATGACCTAAAAGAATTCTGTATTATTTACAGTACAACAGAATGTGTTGTTGTTTTACAGACCCTTAATCATTGAATTTATTATCATTTATGCAGCCTGTTTATTCAGTCTAACTAATAAACTAATCAACTTAACGATCTAACAAAATTTGGAAAAGAAGTTAGTTGTTCAAAAATACGATGATTTGTAGTTCGGTTCAAGTAGTTTAATGGTGATTGGCAGAGTTAGTAGACTGTATTCGTCACAGATTGGCATTAGTTAGTGTAGCATTGAAAATCAAAGAGCAATGGAAGGGTATTTCGTCCCACTTTGTAAGTTAGCAGTGTAGAACTATGATAATGATAGTTAATGATAAATACGAACATGATCATCAATTTTTGAGTGATTATCTTTCAATAATGTGACATTGTTGTACGGGTTAGTTTTTAGAGAATCATAATGATGTTAGAATTTTATACTTACGGCTTCAAATATCGGGGTGTTTACCACTACTAAGCCTTAAAGTGATGATAGACACCGATATATTCATGAAGTTTACGGATTTTCTGCAGAAAAACATAGACTAACCACGCTCATTAGTCTTGGATATCGATGATGCAACAAACACATGCAAAGCCGTTACTAATAACAGTAGCAGACCGTTAAGCAAATATAAAAACAGTTTTTATCACTATGCCATGATGTAAGAACTAAGATTGAGATGATTTACGCATAGTAACTGGATTAGTCAAAATAAATCCAAAATTCATGCAGAGAAAAATAATAACAATCACTTACAAATCTTCAGTTGGTCGTACTGAACTACCATTGACAATATTATTACCAGTACTCATGGAACAGGATGAAAGTCTATACACGTTTGGTGCAATTACTATTGATAAATTATCAGAAGTCATTTTATTCACATCTGATTGACTAGACAATTTCTGCAAGAAACACATTAAATAGCCTAAATTTAAACGAAACTCCTTAGGCATTTTTTCAAGGCAACTACGAATTAACTGTAGATTGACCGCTGTTGAATTAGGTCTATGATTAAAAAGAGGAAAAGACAGACAGAATGAATGATTTATGTGTTAAAAACAGTGATAGTAAATACAAGTAAACTATTTCTAACTATGTAGAAGAAATGGTTACAATTGAAAAAGGTATTATATCGAACCAAAGCGTGAATAATTTTAGTGAGAACCTATTGATAAGAAGTTGGGTTATTGAGAAAATCCCTCTCCTGTGATTGTGAACACGAGGATTTAAATCTGAAATTCAAACAAACAATTCTACTTATAATACAATAAGGCAATAAGAACTTAATTAGTCACAACAGTTACTTTGACGGATGTTTTAGGATCATGTGGAGTATGAATAATTGATTGATAATTTTTTACTGTAGAATTTTGGTACAATCATTACGAGAGTAAGCATCAAAATGTCGGGAGCCATATGATTTCGTTTAAGCAACTATTTACCACTATGACAGGGTCCCCAAGCAAAGATGAATCAGTTTCTGTATCGAATAATTTTCGAATTCAAGACAAGAAAACTATAATGTAATCTTTAAAAAAGTAGATAATTATGGGAAAACGAGTTCGTCTATTAAGTTAAACTACCCAAAAGAAAAAAACATAGCCATCTGAATATAAAATTATCTAAAAGATCAGAAAAATACTAAGTGATAAACTATGAGGCTATTACAGCTTTAAAGAAGGTATATAAAGCATAACGTACTGAGAAGCAAATTCGGGAAATAAATCAAGTTCCAACTTTCTCGGAACAAACAACCTCCCAGGTCAGTTTATAACTAACTAGTCGAAGCCGTACTAAAAGCTCAACACGTGTATGGTCGTGATGGATGAATGCTATTGAGATGTGTCGAATTGGAACAAAACAAACTCACAGGACTATCTCATATCTAGTAGTTCTCCAAGTTAACAGAATAAGAATTAACAAAACATCTCTTTAATTATATTAGTAATTTTATGTCAATTGTTTACAGAGAATATTTTGATAATGGTGTACAAGTTTTATGGTTAATTAACTGACAGATATAATGCTTACTGACAGATGATGAGCAATCAAACAATGAGATTGGCTGATAGCTTTTCAAGATATGGAAAGAGAAACTGGCAGTATAGGTTTCTCTTCGAACAAGGTGATATATCTTTACACAAAAATCAAACTTGATTCAATATCACTCAATAAATAACCGACTGGAGGAAGTTAATTTGGAGGTCACATATCAGCTAAAAAAGTTTGCAACCTGACTAACAGACCCAATTTTTATCTACTCAATATAAATACTGAAAAACCGTCTCCAAAATGCTACTTTTAATTTTGTAAGTAGCATATATAAATATGAACACATCTGTTAAATGTTTTAATAGGTAAGATTAGCGAGAAAAGCAGAAATTTACGATGCATTTTATATAAACCTTTCAGTCAGTCACAACGTAGAACTTCGTACGTACGTACATCAGTTCGAGTTGCTATACCACATTAGCACAGAGATGCAGTTGTCGATTCAAATCCCATAGTGGTAGAAGTAGTAGGAGTATAATCAGAAATCCCGACCGTTGCTGCTACCTTGACGTGGTGGTCGGGCTTGCCTATCGTGATGATCCAATCGAGCTATGCTGGCTGGAACAATCGTTCCTCAAGGTCCTACCATGCCAGACAGGTCGGTTGAAGAACGGTGAGACTAAAAGCAGCAATCCCAAGGTCCGAAGGCGAAGTCGTACTGCTGACTGTACAGAGGTGTGAAAGCAGTAAGGTGTTTCCTTCAGACAACCAGCATGACAGCGATGCTGCCTTCCCACAAGGAGGGGTGGGGTTAGAAAAGGTCGACCCTAAAAATGCACACCTCGCCTTATCCCACGGATTTCCGTCTCCGGCGGTAAGGACTTTTGAGGAACGGAGCTAACACGTCAAAAATCCCCCACAAAGAGGCCGTGCGTGACCGGCCTCAAGCAGTTGTCCCTTGGGCACTGCGGTCACGCTCCCAGGTCGTTAAGACCAACACTAATCCAACTTCTTTTTCAGGTCCCTCAAGAAATACCCTTCCACGGTGTGGGCAGCCGGGAAGTGATACTAACCCTCATACCCTTAACTGCACACGAGACCAAGTTGGTCACTTTCAAATCCTTCCTACACCTAATATAAACCTTTACTTAATCGAAATTTCTTATAAAGAGTATCGGCGTTTCATTAATAATGATACGCCGATGAAATAACACATTCATCACCTAGAAATACACAAACCAAACAATATTCACAATTTGAGAGAAACGTATGATCATTTACTAAACGCAAAACATTTTTTATGCAGTAAAAAAAACACAAGGTGTTTCTAATTGAAATCTTTTATCCAAAAATAGTAAGTTACTTTTTAGAAGCAGCAGCCCATTGATCAGCAAAATCATAAGTGATTAGTGGCTCAGGAAGACTAAGCAAATATTGTTTCAAAGCACCAGCAACAACAGCACAGTCACATTTTCTAAATAAATGTTCATCGATTTGCATGACATTTAAGGCTTTCTGGATAATGATATAAAAAAATGTTATTAATAATAATAATGAGGTAATGTACAGAAAATGTCGATTTATATATGTGTGGTTAAAACCATAGGATCGAAATAACATCATTATTACCAACATTTATTATTGGTTTATTTAAACACACTAACATTGTTACAAGGAGACACTAAACATATGCATATGCGCCACACTTCGTAACTCAATTTGTGTAAGGGCTGGAATACTACACGGGACCATCTGTTAACATATCAAATGGTAGGAGGTAATCGGCAACAGCATTGGTGATCACTAAGTGATCAATCAATTGTGTCTCAGTATCATTGAAGATTAGTCGCGGCCCAAATGGTCAATTATAACACCTCAGACTGTGAAGCTGGGTAATGCGGGTTCAAATACCACAGAGAACACCAATTCTTCTAAGACAACAGGCGTGTCTTTTCTGAAAGTGCATGAAACCTAAGTTCATGGTTTCCTGGAGACTACCTCTAACCACCTGACATGAAACACCTATTTACAAAACAAGCTAATTTAAGGTGAATTGATTACATAAATGTGACACAGTGGTGTAAACCATCCACTTGAAAGCACTTGATTACAACCTACTTCAGAGTTTAAAAATTGTCTTACTAGGAAACTCATTACATAACGATTGTGACATTACTTAACCAACCTCAACCCAACCGTTAAGCATGTGAAGTAGTGTTAAGATAATTAGTATTTAGATTTTATTTACCAATTTTTCAGGTTGACAGAACTAATAAAAAGCCTTCGAACATGAGATATAAACTAATAATGAGCATTCAAGTGATTTCCAAATGCTTATAACCAAAATATGTGTCCATCCTATGAGATTTCAATTAAAAACGTTTGGTAAAGTAAGCAGCAAAAGCCAGTCACAACGTAGAACCTAGCATATGCGTACGTCAGTTCAAGTTAACATAGACCATTAGTAAAAAAGAGATGAAATTGGCAGGTCAAATTTATGAATGGTAGAGGTAGTAATAGTATCAGTGGTAAAAAGAAAGGTAAAGTATTGAAGAAACTATTCGAAAAAGAAATATAAATTAGTGGATTATAAACAACAAAACGTCATGAGGAATTTAGTATCTCAGAATTTAGGGAAAGATAAAGAATGGATGCATCTGCGCCATCCAGACGATTGCGATCCATGTCATTCAAAGCCTCTAACCACTGGTCACGATAATATCGTGGGCCCTAACCAGGTAATCTATACCTATTAACGTAGTTAAGTCCAATTGTTAGTGAATTCATATACTGATGCCATATTTTGGTTCGGCAGCCCCTACATTTCTTCTAGCCTACTCCTGCACAAGAAAACATCACTCGTCGAGGTATGAGATGGTTGGGCATGCGTAACAGCCACCTCAGTTAATGAGGGTTTACTACATTACCAATCTATTTTCCGTCTTCACCCAGAACTTATCCCTAACCGAGTCATTGCTTACTCAGTGATCGCAAAATATACGAAGAATGCTTTAGAGACACCTATGGTCGAATACCAGTAACCTAGGAATATCCTTTACTCTTAGTGGTCATGTTTTACATTCGTAAAGTAGAAAGGAGCAAACAGCTGCTCAGTAAAGTCGTCCTTTAGTTAGAAGACGGATATTTTGCCCAAAAACAACATTATGAGTTGGTGAACCATAACCTAATATTTGAATACAATACTAAATATTCATATAAGGGAGTGAATAAAATAAAAGCAATGTATAAACATTAAATAGGAACAATATATTTGTAAAATCTCAGCGAATGAATTTGAAGTAAACCCAACGTTTCATCTGGCAATCTGGTCCAAGCTTTTTCAAGGAATAATTCGCTGAGATTTTACAAATATATTATTCCTAATTAATGTCTTACATCAACTCGGCGCTCAAATACTGTGAAACTATTCGCTCTAATTTAGACGACAGTTCTTATATAAGCAATGTATAAAGTTTTATCAAATAGAAATCAAAAGGCAAAAAATAAAAATAAGAGCACATATAAGTAAATAGTCCTCATCAGTTCTATGTACAGATGCATAATAACAAATATTAGTTAGACAATTAGTAGATAAAGGACTTGGAACAGTTCCAGTGAAACAGTAATTAAAATAATTAAGATATTCGTAAATATTCAGCCTATGAATATTTACATTAGTTGACTTGTGAACATCCTTGATAGTTCTTCCAATACTTATCACTCTTTCAATTCATCTTCTCTGATGAGAACTTTTCCGATATTATGATACGTTAACTATGTACAGTGATTTTTAATGAATGATACCACTATGTTTAAGGATGTAAACAGTTGACCAAAAATCGCGAATAATATTAATCTTATTCTGCTACATTAATTGTTTTTGCTTTAGTCAAAGCATAAATGTAATTAAAAGTTCGGGTATAACAATCGTTTTAACACTGACAGAAAGCCTATCAGGATACAGTAGACTGAATATTGTTGACAGATATTGACTGCAGAAAAAGATTTTTTAAAGTAATTCGAATAATTACTACCTGGACGTATATCAAAAAGATATTTGTTGTAATGTCGCACAACTGGTGCTGAAAATTCTTCACCGTACCGAAATTTATAGCACTGGACAGAGTTATTATCAATATTATTGTCATGATTACTATTGCTATAAAAAAATACATAGGTAGTCATAGGAAATGTCGACAATATTATTATTTGTAAGCATTTTTTACAATCTACAATGAGTATTTTTACTTACTACTAAGAGGTCTGTCCGTTTTTGGGATCCAGACTTTCGAAAAAGACCCTGAAATAGATAACAGGAAGAATTTAAGAATAATAGAATAACACTAATAATATGAGATACAACATACAAACAAATAATGGATACATAGAAAAGTCATATCCCAATGAATTAGTTTATTGACATTCCAGTATCAAACAAGAAACTCTTGTACGTAAAAATACAACAAATAAACATTACCACCTTACTGACACTGATCGATTGAAAATTCACACCATATAACATCAGTAACCACATATTGAAATCAAACTAACTTCTGGGAGAAGGTTACAAAGATTTTAGAAAGCGACTAGCTGTTATGCAGATATTCACAGACAATTGTTTAGTAGAAATAAGGAACTCTTGAATAGTCAAACGAAGTAAAAACGACCAACTAACAAGGGCGATAAGTTATCTGGCCCTAATTGCAGATGAACAGTTGAAAAATTGAAGAGATCAATCTGTTTATGACAATTTTTCCCAATGAATAAAAACGAAAAACCCAGTTAATCAGATAACATATATGATTCCAATCTACTAACATTGGTTAGCTGTAATCCAATATCAATTAACAGTTCCATATACGTTCAGTAAAAATTACTATTGAAATGTATCTAACCACTTAGATACAGCTAAGGTATCACTGGATACTGGTTTGCATGACATTAGTGAAGCTGAAATTAATTTTACATTTTCTCTCGATACATTCACTTTCTTCTAATTACGTGTTCATTATTAGTAATTAGTACTAAGTGACAAGGTATCATTCATATGACAAGTCCAAAGGTTATTGTCTAACCAATTGTCAGGATTAATATGATAAGAATAGAGAAAAAATGACAAATAAACATATATACCAGGCTTTTTGTTGTTTAAATAACTTGGATAGATATAGATGAGTGATAACCATAATAAAAAGAGATAACATAATAATGTGTACATGGATATTGTCTCATTGAAATAATAATAATAGTAATATTCCACTTAAAGAAGGTAAAAAAAAATTGATGTAAGTTTATATATGAATAGCATCATGACTGTTAGAGTAAACATTGAGGAATTACCAAAAAAACTGTAAACAAGACTAGGAGTAGATATAAAATATGGCGACCCACATTACACGATACCAGTTAGATACAAAATAATAATAATAATAACAATAATAATAATAATAATAATAATAATAATAATAATAATCTAATCATATCTATTTTCGTGTTAACAGTCTATATAGGTTAAAAAATAAAGTATATTATGATTTAAATTCTTCATCACCTTCTGACATAACATCATAAAACCATTAAACATATTTTTTCTAAAGACATGAATTTGTTTTTGAACATATGAACTTGACTAATCCGAATAGCGGTAGTTTACAAAACGTGTTAATTGTATCTATTTATGATAGATATTCAGCTAAATACACAAATAGATCTGTTTTTACTAATAAATACTGAGTACAAGACGCTAAAGAACAATAGATTCACAAATTTACTATGTTGAAAAGAAATGAATCACAAGAGAAGTGGGAACAAAAATAATGGAAGTAAAAACAGACATGAGTTTCGGTAAAAACCACAGAATAAATCTTAAGAATTCACTTGATTCGCCTATCATTGAGGAATTGTCTTGAATCGAAGATCTAATCGATATATATGTAACAGCCTAATGTATATCCAATATACAAACTTCGGATCTCAAGTGCATCAATTTGATAGGTTAGATATATTTTGGTTCTGTTTATCATTGCAAAGAACTTCCAAAAACGAAAGAAAAAATAGCATAAATGAGAGGCATTTGGTACACAAAGCAGTACGAACATCTGTCGTAATAAGTGTAATAATTATGGTTGAATTCATATTATAGTAAGTGTTGACATTAAGAAATATTCAGTTTAATTAATTTTAGTACATATTTCAGTAAAAACCCTCTTTGTTATACTCTAGTTCAAATAAATGAGTAAGTGAATATACATACAAGCATATACGGAAACACCGTCTACTGAGTGACCAAAGTGATGAACTAGAATACTTTGTTCTTTCAAATAAAATAAAAAATCTAGAAATTTAACCTAATATATCATATATATGCACTATCGTTGTAGAATATTAATAATTACAAAACTAAAGATAAAAATGAGTCATGCAAACTACCACATCAATTAGCCACTTAATGCTCATATAAAAACTTGATTTGATCGAACTTATGGAATTTGACGCGATGTGGTTAAGTGCTATTGAGATTGCAGACCGATTCCAGCTAGATAGCCATTGGAAACCTAGAATCCTTGAACAGTTATTTCGTTCAAGTACGAGACTCCTTAGTAGCGTGCATTTATAACCCTGTCGCTTGGGACTGAAACCAGGACCTCTGGTATTGTACACGAACATTCAGTAGTGTACAACTTAGCTATTCGCACGCTAGATTGAAGGTTCGGAGTTTGTTCCCCGATGGCAGTAATAAAACCGGTTAGATAAAATAATATTAGTGGCGCATTAAGTATATTCAGTGATCAATTAACATTAAGATTGCATCTAGTCATTTAAGATAATCACCAACTAAGTTTGGTCATTTTGTAGTGAATGCTACTTATGTCGACAAACATAAGTAGTATGTAACACCGATCAGAAGTGGAACGCCTGGAAACAGAAGGTTGGGATGATCGAATCGAAGAGAACGGGAACATAGAGTAATTGTTATGACAAAGAAGGAACAATGAAGTTTGAAACAATTGATGTAGGATTTGTAAATAAAAGATTGAACATATAGTTTTCATATTTTACGAGAAAGAACTCAGTAATTTTGTATTGAGGTACACTCTATTGGCCCCAATTATGTTCTCATTCACAAAAACTGATAACTTCATATAAGTCAATTCACTTTTAGGTGCACGGATTTATTTTACTTTACTTTAGTGAAACATTTTTGAGAAATGTTTTATAATTAACATGATGTTCATGTGATGTATCATTTTGTAAAATCAATTCATTTACACATGTATATGTAACATCATTTAAAGGTAGAACCAACTCACATTCTTACAACGAGGTACAATAAGAAATTTTAAAGATGGAAACAATACCACCACCAATCATCTATACATGATAATCTATGTTTATATAGAAAAAAATACAAACGTACAAAAATGTTTGACATTATTTTTTGACATTTATTGATCGACAGAATATATAATGCAAAATGATAACGAATAAGAGCGAGAAAAAAAAGAGTGAATGTAAGGTATTTAACAATAATATTCAGAATTCAATATACAGTGAACGAACACCAATGGTATATAAGTTTGTTGAACATTGATTAAAGAACAATGAATACTTGGATAAATCTATTTTTTTTATTTTTTTAAGAAACAAAAAACACGCTAAATCTCTTAAATAATAGCACAATGTATATTAGATGTAAATCAGTTAAATTCATTGAAGTAAATGACTAAATTATTATTATTGTTAACTTAATTCAATATTATATTTTTGGTACAATATAGAATTCTCAGCACAAAGTATTACCACAAGATTCCGTTTCTTACTTCTTCGTCGATCCTGACGATAAATATTGAGTGGTCACCAGTTAGAAGTTAGCAGTCCAATAAATCGACATCTGAATAATGTGCATTCTTTTCGTTGTATATTGCTTGCCAGCAAAACGATATCTCTGATTGGGCCTTTTGTAACTTGTATAATGAAAGGTTGTACACTTTTCAGAAATACACCTGAATAGGTTATGAGATTAATAGCCATAATGATGTATTAAAACAAAACAAAATTAGATAAGTTGTTGAAATATCTAGATAGCAGGAACAGATAGCCCAGATGTTCAAGCAGGCTGCCATACCACAAAAAAATTTATCCCTCATTAAAAGGACATCGAAAATTCAGCCTGAGCCCGAGGACCAGGCTGATAACATCAGTTAATGATTAATAATTTAGTGTTGGCAACCCCGTACTCAGATAAACTTCACTACTTATAGACATACGTTAGCATACTTTAGAAAAAAACTTTGAGAACTTAATTATAAAAATGGCGAATGGGATATTTTGAGAAGTATTAAAGTTAAAATTGAGACAATTAATAGTTATAGTTCAAGTATACTAGCTAAAAGAAACAATGGGACTTGTAATTCAGATAGGTGAATTTTCGGTGTTATATACGCAGGAATGGAACCCAAAAGTCCCGAGGTTGTGGATAAGCAAAGCTAAGGAGTTAGGTAGTTGGAAGTAGTCAAGAGGAAATCTTAGATTTAGGTTTTGTGCTCGTTGGTACTCGTCAACAAAGAGTGCATGCAATATCTAGGGAACTGATGGTATCTGGTAAATTTGAAACTGGACCATTCAGTTTTATAACTTGAGACGCTAATAGTAAGGTATACGACCCGCGCATAGGGCTGAAGTATTTACATTGATTGAACATTGAATGATAGTCAATATCATACTTTTTAGTCCTTAGCACTGATTGAAATCTACCAATTAGGTTATAATATAACCACTAATCTAAATGACTCAAACATTGCATGAACTATATTTTGATGTACAGTTAGTTTTAGGCGATTGAAAGAAAATCCTTGACCAAAATTTCTTGCAACTTGATAATGTCACTCAATCAGAAATAATGACAGGGCAAATATGAAATTAACAACTATCCAGTAGGGATCAATTAATGCAAATAGTAAAATTTATCACCACTAAATGAAAACACCTGATCATACAGGAGATATTAAACTCAGTTAGTCTAATGTAAAAGTAAATGTTAATTAAACGTAGTTACACTAAACTGAACGAATAGTGCAACAAGACGTAATATATTGATAATGGAAAAAGTGTTACTTTGAATATGTTAAAGGATAGCCGCCATACTATCATGTCATTGTGCACACAAATATAATGTATATCTCCAATGATAGCTGATGATAATATGGTATATTATATCTATGATACATCTCAATGATCATATTAATAGTCAATCTTAAGAAATAGAGCAGTGATTTAATGATTGAAACATTTGGTTTTCAAGTGCTGAAACTTCCACTCAAATTTTGCTACACTATCTTCGGTATTTCGGTAGATATGTACTATCATTTGGTTTTTATACAAACAATGTACATATTAAAGCCAAATGAGTAAACATAATTGACAGATAAGAAGAAAACCTTGGCGGCCTGCTTAAATATCTGGGCCATCTGTTCCTACCATCTAGATATTTCAATAAGTTATATGTCTTTGTTTGTTTTAACATATCATTATGTCTATTAAACGCATAACCTGTTCAGGTGCATCTATGAAAAGTTTACCACTTTTCGCTGTACAAGTTACAAAAAAGTACGATCAGAGATATCGTGGTGGCTGGCAATGTACATTAGAAAAAATGAACATCATTCGGATGTCAATTCCTGAACTGCTAACATCTAATTGGCGACCACCCAATATTTATCGTCAGGATCAATCAAGAAATATGAAAAGAAAACTTGTCGAAATATTTTGTGCTGAGGATTCTATTCTGTAACAAAAATATAATACTGAATAAAGCCATTAATAATAAAAATAACTTTTGATAAATGATTTTACTAGCGTATCACCTCGATAGAACAATTAATATTTAAAAAATAAGGCTTTATGATATTTAGTAGTAGTTAGGGTTTCAAAAAAGCGATAAAATTGACCTTTATTTCATAAATTAAATGAAAATAGACTTTTTAATATACGCTATGAATAGCGGAACAAATAACTTTTGAACAATGTATAATGGATATGGACAATTTAAGATATGATTTAGAAATGATCACTGTAGCATTCCAGCTTACCTCTTCTTGCATGATAGATTCTTGATCCAAATAATTAATACATACGTCTAGAACATAGGCGATAGATCGTTTAGTTTCGGCTAAATGATCAGGTAGATGTCGGCCAAATGTAGTAAGACGTTTCTGTAGCCCTGTCGTCCAGAAAAAACAAGAACCAATGATAAATAAATATATTGGGCATGTACAGTAATGGAAAAGAAAAAGAACGATCTAACAGATAGAAATAATAGACTGAAAGTTTGTAGAAAAATATGTTATCGTTCTTATCTAATAGATGGGATGTAATTGGAGATGGAATCTAAGACGCACTTTCCGTTTTATCCCACCTATTTTATGTAACATAAAAATGTATTCTTTGATTTTGTGTATCAATTTTTTTGAAAAATTATAGTGTTTTGTTAGTAAATAATGCCGTCAATTATGAATCTTTTGAATTGAGTCAGGATTATTTTTTGAACGTTCGTCAACAAGCTCCTTGACCTTCAACAAGTGTGTTGGATAAGGCACTTTCAACCATTTTTCTGATTATTTAGAGGATGTTTAGAGTATAAGTGTGCAATTTTCCCTAAGGATTCCATTTAAAGCGTCTAGAGAAATCTGTAAGCATCTAGATTGGGTATGGTAGTGAAGCCCAAAACAATATGCTGGATGAAGAGACAGATATAGTGAAAACTACACATTAATATGTAATGAATACTAAGTGAACGAGAGGAAAATTCAACGTCCAGTGTGCAACACATTTACTGAGCGTTCGCAATGATGCGCATAACGTTGGTTACATTTCGATTCAATAACAAACTTACTGACATAATAAACTGTTAGTTATTTGAAAAATCTTTAGGTATGGACTATAGGATAGGTCGTACAACGAGACAACGGAAAAAAACTATTTTAGTCAAGCTAGGGGCAATATTCAACTATCGCAACAACAAAATACCAGCTGCTGATAATCAGATTACGTTGTTTGAATGTCAAGGAGTTACAAATTAGTTGGTTGCATAATGAATAAACTTTTATCATAGATACGATTTAAGTCCGTATTTAATTGATCGAAAAAAACTATAATGTTAATATATAAAATTAAAACTGATCAGAAAACATGCATAAAAAATATTTTTCATGGAACAAATAGCATACTATATGATTGTAAGTTTAAGACAGGTTCACTTGTATGAATATATTTGACATTATACAACTACACACTGACAGAGCACAAACACAAATACGCTATGAACGAACGCGAAACATTACCGCCTATTACTAAGACAAACGTAACAGTAAAACTCCCATGATTTTATTGATATGGGCCCAATGTTTAGTTTTGGGCCTGATTTTGACGATAAGTTTCAGATTAAATGATTGTTATCATATTTGTTTTTCAGCTATAAAAATAATAATAATGCTAATATGCGGAAATGTTGGAAATTTGTTTAGTGTATACAAGAGAATTAAGAAAAAGTGGTTAGATATTTAAATATACGTTTGATACAAATTGTGATCTGTAAAATTATAGATTACGAATTTGTAAATTTTTATTACCCTACTATTGACATTCAAGAATTGAATTTTAATCGGTCACTGTTAGTATATATGCATTCTGAATGAAAGCCTTGAACCACATTTATTGTCAGACTAGCAGTTGCACGGGGTAGACCGGCATACCTCAACGAGTTACAAGCGGCCTGTAGAAATCAATACTTATAATAAGTGGCCACCGAAACGACTCTCTTCTGTGCCTAGAAGGCCAACCTGTGCATTCGAATCTCAGGCTAGCACTACAACGCACTTTCTGAGAATCACTTAACTGGTGGGAAAACTCAACTTTGATTGCATCCGGACTGCCATTGATCAGGGCGTAGGCAGAGATAACGAGAATACATGATATTTTACATCGACTTCTCGCTACGATAGAGCTTTCTAATCTAACAGAGCACAATCGACTGTTAATGGGGACTTAATCGATTAGTGCTATCTCAGCTTTAGCGCTTACTGCGACACCAACACCGGCGAAACAAACGAATATGCCACATGGTCCACGGATAAACGTACATAAACCAAGCGTTTCGCAGCTAAAGATGGAGAGCGAATTTGTGGTACTTCACTGGATTCTTGAGTACGGGTCTCGGATAGATAACAGATATCTATGTTGAGACATCCTGAAAACAGCCAATCATGTCTGCAGTCCGACCTGCATTAGTATGCAAGCGTTGAAGGAAGCTAGTTTGAATGACACAAGAGATTTCAGAAAGCTCGATTCAAAATTCCCATTCGGTGGTAGCACTCGACATAAGGTCAGTCAGTGACTTGAGATCGTTTGGATAGAATAGGTTTTCAACCATAGGCGAGATAATGTATGGATTGACAAAAAAGGAATTTATAAAGTGAGAATTAAAGACAGTCGACACGTGATGCAACGTAAAATAATAACAAATGTTACTGAATAATTGTGATCATAATTTATGAGAGGATAGAAACGAGAATAATTCTTTTGAGTTTTTATCATCACTGAATCTTTTTATGGGATGGCATACTGTCCAAGTGCATAAATCGAAACAGTTGGTTTCCTTAGGGGACCACTCCTCCAGCCTTTTATCAAGTGGTCGAATCCACAATGTAGTGGAAAAATGTTAGATGTGGTCCCGTGGTAGCTGGTGACCAACAATAGGCTCAAACGCCATTTGTTCCCTCAGGACCATGGGGCCTATGTGTATCACTGATTTGCGACCAGGATTTCTGCCTCCCTTAGGTGGATCATCCGTGTCCACCAACCGGGTTTAAGTGTCAGATATTTGCTTTTCGTTCTCTCAATTTCATAGACAAATCCCCCACCGCGAAAAGACAGTGACTATATACGCGTGGCCATATGGGAGGATTTTGAAAGGGAAAGTGGACTCTTACATTTGTTTAGGGTTGCATAAAATAGGAAGTTAGTTTTACCAATTATCCATTTTCCAAATCATCACCCTTTTCGAGTGACGGTGAGTATACCAATCGAAATTCAGTAAAACACATCACTTATTAGTAAGTAGGATACAACGCATAAGGTGGATAAAGCTTTATCATGCATTATCATATTCCATTACACTATCGAAACAATAGTTCACTCACTATGTAAGCCTGAATTTAAACATGGGAAAAAAAGATAGTGTGTTGACAGTTGTAGTAAGGTAAAAATTAACGGAAGTGTATATTAAAATGATAACTTACTGATAGTTTGAGACATATCGGAAATCACTTTTTGAACCAACTGTAAACTATCAGATAAATAACTTTCTTGTAATTGAAAGTATTTAAGTATAAGGCGTGAATAGTTTTCTTCTTCAGAGGCGAATGAATACAGATCACGAAGTAATTGTTCCTGGATTTTTTGATAAGAACAAATTACAAATTTTAGATGGGTGGAATTACTATTATTATTAATGAATTTTACCGAGTTCTACACCAAACGATAAAAAAGAATTGTAAATAGAGCCTTTGTCCAAATAAATGTGTTTATCACCGGCTGGTCTTAAACAACCACTGAAAACCAAGAAGTACTGAACAGCCGTTTAGTCCTAGTATGGGACTCCTCAGCAGCGACCATTCGTGGTCCCACCGAGAGTCGGACGCAGGACCTTCAGGTCTCTCAGTAAGCGCTTAACCTTGAGATCATCAAGTAGGGATCCAGTTGTCTACATATCTAGCTTGAGCCAATTAGCGATATTGTCCAATCATCTTCTAATGACATTAATAACTAACCGTCTAACAGCCAAAATGGTTGAACTCCACTGACCACATTTTCTCCGTAGAACCTTTCGAGATTATTTACTAGGGAGCACACGATAATTACTATTGTTAGTATAAACTATTGAATCCAGAATCAGCAGTCTAAAGGTCAAACGCTAGCTGTGAGGCCTTAAAATCCAGGGTTCGATACTTCTAGGGTCTCAAATGTTCATTGCTGAGGAGTCCCATATTTGGATGAGATAGCTGTCCATTATTTTTCAAACTCAATGGTTGTCTAACTTAGGTCATTCTGTGATACAAAATCTAAGACTATGAAATAATATTGGGGTGTAAAATCTATGAAAAGATAAAGAATGCGTGCATTTCTGAGTCTCCAAGAATAGCTTTTAGCTGTATTACTACTTTCATACACTGAACATTTACCAGGATCACTTACAGCAATTGAGTATATCTTCCGCGTCTGTCTTCGTTTTATAAATTATGTAGAATTTCTACTTATTTGTATCACTTTCTGACAAATAACTTTGATTAGCATGTACTACTTTGACGAGATATTATGTTATTTTTCTATTTATTATTATTATTCATTTTAAATACTCTTATGTACAAGATAAAAATAATGGTTGACTTAGCGTCTCAGTATCCTTTCAACAATATATTATACTAAATGATAGACTAAAATCCCTAAGACACAAGAATTACCCTGCTTTCTTTCCCTATAATGTAGTACACATATGGAACATGTTCACTTAACGAAATAAAAACTTCATGCTGTTAGAATGACAGCAAAACTGTAAGAAAAAGACCATTATTTACGAATTCAGGCACTTTTCAAAACACAGATGGATGTGGTGTAATATCATCTTGTTGCTTATAGATTCGTAAGTTTTATCATCCACTCTAAGCAACAATTGAGATATGAGACATCCACAGGTTTTCTTTTACCCATGTAAAGCTCTCTATCCCTAATTAGTACTAATCCCAGCCTATGCAATATATAAAATAGTTAATTTTACTTAGTACTATTCACAAAACTATTACATAGTGTTCTAATAGAAATAAATACTAAATAAACAAGGAAAATGTATTCTCTTTTAATAAACTTGACAAAAGTATCAAAAATGCGATCGGCACTCAATATGCATACTGCAATATTAATCGGTTCATGAATTCAATGAAATTCAACAATCTTCACAAACCTTATACTGTAAATATGTGAAGTTCCAGTACAACCGATGATTAGTATGGTCCTCAAAAATTACAAATTAAAGAAAACCTTAATTTTATTAACTTGTTATTTATTTTGCATAAAGTCCGATACGACTGCACACCGAAAATAGTATACAACAAACAAACGAAACGATTATACTGTGAAGAAGTAAAGGATGGAGAGGAAATGAAATTTTAAAAAATAACTGGATAAGAACGGTGTATGATGGATGGTTACAGTTCGGTTGACGATACAACTAAGCAAGACATTTCCTTGAATTAACGAAGTTTATTTCACTTTTGTGAAGAATGTAAAAGAAAACCATGGGAAAATCGATATTAGCGTTTACTCTGATCTATGTTTGACTGAGTGGCACCATCTCTAGGACCTCAAACAGAGGTTGTGATGAACCAACTGATTCTAGTCTTTTATACCTATAACCAGGCAATCTCTCTGCTTTCTTCATACAACCTTGGTTTACAGTAGATCTCTATTAAAAACATACGTTATCTAACAAATAATAGCCAAAGAAGTTGTTGGGAAATTCAAGTGAAATCTATGTGTTTAAAGAAAATAAAAGAAACCAATGAGTTTTAAGCTTGTACTTTTGAAGATTCCAATTCACTTTCTTTCTCTTCTAATTGATGTTGAGCTTGACTAATTCGATTGACTGCATCAATTGTCACGGACGGATTACAAGAACCAGGATAACTTGAATTTGTACTTGTTTGAATACATTGCATAGTTTTTTGTAATTGTCCACGTGCATTACGAACATCTGTCAAACACTTTTGTAAATTACGTCGGCCTTTTGTAATGTTAACACATGTTTCTTCAGTCAGACGATTTAATGGTTCAACAATTTGACGTTCTACTTTAGTCTCATGATCTCGATGATATGTAGATAGAATTGACAAAGCTTTACTAGCCTCACGAGTAACACAACTGATGAGAAAAATAAACCAGAAAAAACATATTTTATAAGGATTATTTTCCTAATCTGAACAACTAGTTTCAATACTATAACGGTTAACAATACTATTAACGGTTTTTTCACATCACATCACATCACACACAAATACACATACTTTTCTTTTCCTATTACAATTTCGCCACATGTCACTAAATAATTCATATCCATATTTTAATACAATCCGAATTTAACCACTCGACATAACTGGACAAGTGTTTAGTATACAGCTGTGTTGTGAGCCTTGGGTATATCAGATAATTTAGATTACTTCCCTGAAGAAGCTCGGATTAAACTGTCGAGTAAAACGTCACTTTTTTGCTTTGATCACTGAGATTTTTACAAATATTTCATTTTTAAATAGATAGATAATATGCACAAATCACTTATTATTGCTTATCAATCAGTGGTCAGATTCAATTTAAACAATGGAGGTAGATTAATCGTTTTACACTATAGATTGTCAATATACAGTATATTCACCGGACATAAATGGTTAGGAATGGTGCGTCAACGAAAATATGAGCGTACACTACTGAATCTTTGGTTGTATTTTGACTGTAATCAAGGAACTAAACAAGTGAAGTTTAAATTATCAGTCTTAATGTTTGACTTAAATTTGGTTAAAGCATAATAACCTACGATATACAAATCTACGTATTCGGTTTTGAGCAAAACACTTTGTGTTACAGTTAGTGATAATACTAAGGTTATCTAAAAGAAAATACAAACCTTACTTGAAACCATATCAAAACTTTAGATACAAATAAAGTTCATTATTAATTTATTCACCAGTCCGTGCCTGGTGTTGAAATTATAAAGAATATTTGTAGATGAGGATTTTGAAAGTATCGTGTTCTCTTGGTCGGACAGTTTGATCGTGAAGCTAATATAATCTTTTTCGACAGACTCTTTTTTGGCTTTGAGTTGAACTTTAGTAATGGGAGCTAGTGATACTACTAAGTCCCTCAAGCAGAAAATCGAGCGATATTCGAACTTACTACTGAGTGGCTGAAAGTCATTTGCTTTATCCACTGAATCACTATATACATACATGGTAGAGTAACGAAAAGACAGATTGGATTCGAAAAATGTTACTTATTTGCTTTAGATAAATACGTATATACCGTCCCCTTTTATGCTAAAGCTAGACTACAGCAGGCTAGCTAGCAAATCGCAGTGCAGTGTAGACCAAGTATATTTCATAAGTAAGTCAAATCTTCGGCATCCGAGGCTTACCGATACAACGACAAAATCGAGTTGGGGTTTGTCTCCCAGACAACTTTGAAGACTCAACCTGAGTATTTAAGAGAACAAACAAATACAAGAAAAGACACCGATGTGATAGATTCACAAACAACATGACATAAGACATCTTGTGAACAAATTCATCTGAAAGTGTTTAGAAATTAAAGCAATCGCCTATGCTCCTCCGCGAGGAGTAACAGGCGTAATTAAGCAAGTAACCATCAATAGTAAGACTTTGTAACATTTTCAGTTATTTTAGTTTAAGGTTGCAATAGGTTTTTTTCAAACATTGTGCATTATTCACGAATGGGTGGTTTTTCACTAAGAGGGAGAACTCTATTTTGTCCACATAAAATAACTAGAAACCTTTATCAACAATGAAATGAAGAGTAGTCTTAAATCAAGCAGAATAAATTTGACCAAATAATGTAATCAATAGTAACATGTGCAAGGAGTAACAAGCTGTGAAGGTTTTCCACAGATTGTAAAGACAAGTAACACTGACAAATGCATTTCATCTGAAACAATTAACAGTCATAAGGAAGAGTGTATATTTGAAGGTTTTGAATAAAAAAAAAGGTTTACTTTATGGAAAATTAGAAAACATTCAGAATACCACATCTACCATACTTAGTAATACGTGGTCATTCACTAATTGAACACTAACCAATCGAAAAATATATTAAGAGAAAAAGTATGATATTGTAGAACATCACTGACATTGTTTTAAAAAAAGAGATTAGATTAAAAAAGTTCCATAGTTTTCAAAATATACGGGAACAAGCAAAAATGATACTTTTGACATTTAGACCTAAAATAATGAATACATAAATAAAGTAACTACTGAAAGACTTCAATAAATTATAACCATTTTTTTATTTCATTGGAATGCTCCATTATTTAACTAATTCATCTTGTACGTAATGAGTAGTATTTGACTTGATTTACTCATTTGTTATTAGCTAATTTTATCAGCATAAAAACGGAAAGTAAAATTAATGAGATAATCACAAGTGTGATTTTATTCTGATCTGATTTGATTTAACTTCTCTATCAAGTACAAGCAGATAGATGTCTTCAAGATACAGCCTGAAATAGATGTGCATTAGCATGTTATCACACCTAATTAGCGGGATATGATGAAAGTAACAAAAAGATATAAATAATATAGTATCAAGGATAAGTGGAGAGACTACATCTGGTTTGAAAAAATAGAATGGAAGGTATGACATGAAAGGATACTGGTATTTAAGATCAAGAGAAAAATAATGAGTGAACGCATCTGAGCTATTGTGAACGATTCTGAGCCATGTTACCCAATGTTTTCAAACACTGAAAACCATTATCACGTGGACCCCAACCAGATAGTCTGCAACCACCAAAATGGTTTAAATCAACAGTTAATTATTTTATAGACTGATACCCCTAACCTTCTTCCAACCTACCTCTGCACTAGCAAACATCGTTCGTTGAGATAGGCGGTGGTTAAGTACACGTAACACATGTACCAACTACCTCAGTTTGTGAAGATTCATTACCTCATCAATTTACTTGCCATATTTACCTAGTACCCCGTGTCTAACATCAAAATCACTCATTCAGTCACTGCACAAGTACAAGCTTTTATGTACACTCGGCTTGCGGAAAACTATTTGTATGCGAGTGTTATCGAAACCATAAGACTGCCCAAATCGAAGCGTTGTAGGGTTCTAACAAGAGACTTAGTAGTTGAGTACTTCAATCACTAGGACATTACTCTAAGTTACGTGCTTCCTGAACAAATCTTCAATTAAGTAATCTTCATAGTTTTAAAATAATGTCTATTGTCGATTGTTAAGTCCTGTACAGTGAAAACTTTACATACTGATTTTCTAATCGTTTTCTAGTTCATAGAAATTTTCTACTTTTGAAACCCTAACGGAAAATAGAAGGCGAAAGATATTGAAGTTTACCTTGAAGTTAAGAGGATATACAGAAAGGTATTCATAAAATGATAGGTAGTCTTGAGCTTCTAGAGTCTTCAAGAAAGAATGCTAAAATTGGTAGCAAATTCGACAGTTTTGCAATCAAAATAAATAGTGGGCAAATAATCATTCCCTTAATTTTTCTTGAAAGTTTTTCAAAAAACGTTTATCAATCGAAGTATTTTCGATCCTTTCCCTAGCTTCTACAAAATTAACGAGGACACTCAACATTCATTCTTTGACATGGTTTTGGAAAATAAATGCTTTCTTGGATTTATCTGAGAATTTTCAACGGTTTTTCGACATTTCATCTTCCGATGTGTTGGAATATTTTAATAATACTTTGCCTATTTGGTTCTAAGCATACACCGAGTTCATTAGTGTTTAGTGGAAGTGCCGCAGCAACATGCGTTTAATTGTTTTATCTCACTGGATTATAATCGTATGTCTTGTTCAGGAGTAACACCAGTATTTGATCCTAGAAGAATAATGTCATACGCAGCGCTGGTACCTGTCAAACAACTTAAACGACTTAAGAAGATTGATATCATTAACCCACTAACGTTTTTAACAAGGGCTACACTAATTACAGTTAGAAAACCTAAGAGTACTGTCCACTAGTTTGTTGACAACTCAACCGGACTTCTTGCAGCTCCAGAAACCCACCAGTATCCATTACCATTGTCTGAAAACTGTGTTTGACAAAATGACTGGGTAAAAATATTCGTAAAAGTTAAATTTATCTAAGGTTTATCTACATATCCACGTAGCTGGAGAATGAAGATAATCGCTTACTGTTGATATACATAAAAGTTTATTTCTGCATAACCAACAACCATTCAAGGATAATACAGTACCCTTAATTGTTCAGTGAGTAGTGAAAATTATATTATAAGATCTCCCTCATGCTTTAGATTATTTGGATAATGTAATAATCATAGAAACAGATCAAGTATATTTAGAAAAAAATAGACTTCATTATTTTGTGTAGCTGCATACGGGTTTTGACTACGAAGGAAAGTATGTTATCTACAAGTGACGGGTACAATGTCGGAAATTCATAGTGGATAAATACGGAAAGATTTCAAATTCAGTGAACATTAAAGCAGTTAAGACAATATCTAGACTGACAGATGTCCTTACCTCATAATTTTTTTGGAACTTGTTAGCCATTATAAGAAAATTAGCTGGAAAATAACTACTGAAAATCAGGGAAGAATAGGAAGAATTCGCAAACGGAGGCGAAACAGTTATCAATTCTATTTGGTTTCCAATGCTTTTTACACTTAATTACAACCCACACCTGAAACTATCCTCAAATAAACTTAGTTCTAGAACTGTATAATAATCTAAACATCTTTAAAAGTATATTTAATACAGAAAAGACTTAAAGATGGAAAAATTTACACTAATTTTATTAGTCCATCAGAAACTTGATTCGCTGGAAAACGAACTCTATCACATATGGTTAAAGTCAACATAATAGGTGAACACAAAGTCATATGACTTAAACGTTTTGGGTTGGATCCTTGATACAGCTTGTCAATACGATGAGAAACTCAGACTAAATTCGAATACATTGCATACAGCTCTAGAATAAATCAGACAAACTTCTGTTGAGTATAAATGGACTTATAATAACCTTAGGAGTATGAGGCAGATTTAGCGTATTGAAAGGGTAACAACCTAACAAGAAAAAATATCTTAAACTGCGGTAAAAATCAAGGATGGATCTTATGGACAGTTTTGATGCAAGAGGAACTGAAATCTTTTTTTTAAAAAGAAAGGGAATAACAGTATAACGAGTAAATGGGTTATTTTGACGAGAGTTCTTTAGATATCTTTAACAATCTCAGAATCAATTATATCTATGCATTACTGAGAATCTGGCTTTTTGAATTTTCAATAATTTTTTTCACTAATACTAATTCATGATAAAGACAATATTTAAATAAGTCATCTATAATTGTTTAACAAACAATTCAATTATTTGTTATTCAGACAAGTAACCTTTAGTTCGTTAGGTAAGAAAACTGGACTACTAAGTATTTTTAAATAAGCTAATTTGTTTATTTCTAATCTATAAAACTGTTCACATTTTCGAAGACAAGAAAGTACTTTTATAGAACATTTAACATGACAACTAGCTTATTCAATGAAATGCGACTCTCCGAAACTCCAAATAGTTTACAAAAGAAGGTAAACACCATGATAAAATAAGTGGAAATTAAAATATTTCAGAGGGTGGGCAACAGCAAATGGAATAGTTTTGAGATAAGATGCAACTATTTTTCTTAAATGACTTTTCCATATGCGTTAGTTTGCGATGAAAAGTACAGAGACTAGAAAGTTAAAGATGGTTGGGTAATCCAGATTATGTCAGTTGCTCGATTAACTTAGTAACCAAGTAGTAGGGGTCACAACTAGTGTTTGGTGTAAGGACTACTGATACCACCCCGGTGTCCTAACCAAAACGGGACAAACAGAAGTTCGAACTAGCAACCTACTCACCAGATGGATGACTGAGTGCCTTGAAAATAAAACAACCATCATCAGCTATAAAACTGCTACATCTGTTTTTTAATCAGCCTCTGTATTTCATTAATAATTAATAGAATATATCCTGTGTTAGGAATTAACATTATTTTTCTAATGATATTCGAAAAATCTCCATACCCCTCCACATAGTAATTGATCATGCACTACTTACTAATTTTGAGAAGCAATTTCAGCGTTCTATTGGAAAGCCGTGACTGGTGGATTTCGACTATGTTAAGTGTGAGACAGTGATCCACCAGGTACACTAGATGGTCGGGTGATATTACAAATTGGTTGACGTTAAACATTTAAACTATTGGAATCCGGCTCAGTAGTTTAGAGGTTGAGCGTTTGCGTGCGACACTGAGGGTCTTAAGTTTGATCACTGATGGTGGGGTCATGGATGTGCACTCCCGAAAAGTCCCATATTAAAATGAAACTATAGTCCAGTGCTTAGTGATTTTCAGTAGTCGTTTAACTAAGATCAGTCAGTGATGTTAATTATGAATTGAAAAGTCATCTTTAGTGACTCTTCTTTATCACTGGAATGTACTCATGATCAATGTGTATTAAATATATAACCATATTATACATAATAAGAATGATATGATATTAGAATCTTCATTGATGGACAACTCATCTGCTCCAGCCAGTTACTTTCATAATGAATATGGAATTTATTAGTCTGTGGGCTAGGGTTTCAGAAACCAGATTAGTGAACTTTAATTCCAAAAACTTGGTCATTTGATCAGTATAATTCGTTTTCATTAAAATTAGATGAAACACTTTTAGGAGAATTAAGTGTGCCATATATGTAAAAGTTTGAGTCCTCCCATTGTTGATATTTAATTGGTAGCTCAGCCGATAACGCGTTGTTGTTATTTGAAGCGATAGGTACTAGGTTCGAATCTTAGTGTAAACATCAATACTGAGATGCAAATCTATTCAGATAATGTGTCTCAAACATGAAGAAATGTGCGTTCTAGATTTTACAGCTACCTAAAGTTCATTTTTACTAAAGATTAAGTGTAGCATGTTATCTCAAGAACCCTTTATCTTACAAATGAAAAACTTATTTAAAGTGGTTATAAATAGAAAAGTCGAGATATCTAAATAGATTTTTTTATCCTCTGTAAGCACATTTTACTCATTTGCAATCATTTCAATTTTCGGCAAACTAAATCATAAACGGATAAGCATACAATAAAATAGTTCAAATGAGAAGTTACATCCATCTTTAAATAAAAAAAGTATAGTAAAACGTCAAAAATTAACTTTGAGAAATTAGCACTTACACAAAAAGTCGGTCATCTGTATTGGGTTTATCGACGGATTCTTTTAAAATGGTTGACAGTACATACTCAGGATACTTTTTCTACAACGAAAACGATCAATTAAAGCAGAAAAAGGTGTTTATTATGCATACATATTTATGATCCCTCAAAGTATACTATTATCGTATATGAATTTGAACATCTGTTTTTGTTATTGCCATCACGATAATTTAGATTTTTGTATGTAACCAATTATGAGAAACTGCGTAATTACTACGGGGGAGTTTGTAAAGATAGCTAGATCCCATGGTTTATATAACGGACTGATCTTATTAGGACAAACAGTGAAAACCAGGGGGCAATGGACAGTTGTTTCATCATAGTGCGGTACTCCACGACGATGCACAGCCACGACCCCATTGATGAGGAGAGCCAATCTGGGACAAAACGGGTGTATATTAGTCCCTGATTATTATTGTTTGTTCAACTGAGATCTTTCTGTGATGTAAGTTGTGAAATAACGTAAATGTTAACCACGAATCTATGATGACCTACTGATTATTACAACAAGACTTTCTGAACAATATCACTGAATTTTTAAAATAGTTATGAGACCTTTTAAGCATCTATGAAACATTGATGCTTATGGAAAGATAAACAGTAAAGTACTCAGATTTTGAAGTTGTGATTTCATCAGAAATTTGATAGTAGTCGGCAACATCTAGATGATAATGATACCTACAGACATGACTAGGATGAAGAAAAGCTGTCCGTGTTCTGTGAGTATATGGTGGCTGAAGATCTGATTGGACAACTCTCTTCCCAGTTTATATCCTGATATATTATTCATTTCTGCAACAGGAGAGACTTGAATACGATCACTAGATATTAATCATAAACGCTTTCTTGTCATTGTAATGTCTTCGCAATTAGTAATATGTAATTTAATCCACTAAACAAAAGTACTGGTTTGCACAATATCCCTTGAGTACTAAGCTTGCTTGGTTCCTCTGCACCTGTTATATCCTGAAGAGAATTATGAATGGTAACTTTTCAGAATTATTTATGGACCAATATGACACGTATGTTTCCTATTGCATAATTGTTAACTAACTATTCATATTCGTGTTGCTTCTATTATAAGCTTTGTTTTGACCTATGAACTATTACTACACGATTTATCGTTCTTGAGTTATCACCAATCTATCAATTACTTCCCCCACACTCACAGTCACATTTGGCTAAATATTGTACAAATATTGTTTCCTATTTTATGGTACGATGTGGTCTGTCTGTTTGGTATATAAACCCAGTATGCTTGAAATAAATGATTCATACTGCAGGGGCTGTTATTGGTGTTCTGAACTCAACTGTCTGGGCTAGGCAGAAGCAGGACCGACAAGTACTCTATACTGCTCGTACGGGTTTCGTGTGTCATTGGTCCGATCGATAAATCGCTGCTCTCTAATTGACCGTATTATCACGTTATGTATTAACAGGGCATTCAGGCGGTTACAAATTACAACAGTACGCACTAACCCGGTCTAAGCGCTGAACATTCACTTTTTGTCCTCTCAATTTCATAGACAAATCCCAGGCCGCGTAAATTCAGTAAGACTTCCTTGACAATGACTATATATGCGCGGCTGCATGACGAGACTGTCAAATGAGCAGTGTTGTATATAGCATACTACAATAGAAGTGATATATTTGTTAATTAGGTTGTGAACCTGCATCGACTAATATGGTTGAGGCATATGATGCGCATTCTCAGACACTAACTTAATGAGCTATCCTGATTGAACAAAAGTAGTTTAGAAAACTCTAGGTCTACGGAGTCACTGCTATTTTGAGGTGTGTAGCACGTACATGGACACTTCTTGGTCCTGCAAGTTTGATGTAATCTATGGTTAAATATGTCATATAGCATGGCTCAAAGTTAGTTTCTTTGGTACAGATACACTTATTTTTATCTTTTCCTGCATCTTGAGCTGAATATCATTCCATACTTTTTATTCCTCGAAATTCTCCGTTACTTTTGAACTGTATTACCTGCGTAGTTCCCAATACTATTGCTAACCATTACCTCCAATTATTTGTCTTAGCTGCTATTTTTTTCTGGCTATGGAGGTGTGAATCATACCAACTGGTGTACACTTGTGATAGCTTCAAATTTGTTTGTTTCTCCACCTTTGAGCCACATCTTTTGTGTAAAAGTTGTACTTATTATCCAGCTGACATAATTGAAATAAGCGAAGCGGGTTTAGAACTAGCGGATTAACGGTTGGAAAAATAGTAAGTCATAGACTAGCTTATGCGTCACTAAGAAATAGAGAGTTGATATCTAGCTGGACTAAAAAAGATAATCTATACAAAGCAGTCGAAATATAAACGAAAACGGGGTAAGTGGTTTGTAAAATATAAACGTTTCACGGTAACTATTGTATGTTTTAAAAAATTGTTGAAGTTTTATTAAAATCGTGAACAGTTTGGAGGTAAAAATAAAATGCTTTATAGAACAAGATAACATACATTTTTCTTACTGACGAGGACATTTTGCACTAGACCTCTGTGTACATCACTTGCGATACGTCGTACATCGTCAACGCAGTGTTCCAAATGTTCAGCATATTTAGGCCAATCTGTAGGCTGCTCATCTTTTTTATCCCTAAAAGTTAATAACATGTTAAGTGATGATAGGTTCATAGAGACCAACAGAAAATTAATTTGACTAACAAAATGTTCGTTAATACGGTCTGAATATGAATATAATCCAGAGTTGCTTGTGTGTTAAATTCTAAATTTCCTCTAACAGATTGAATTATGTAAAACTAATGATATTAGTTGAATCATTTAGTAAGAAAACAGTGAATGGAAGTTAGAAATTTACAGCTAATGCGCTACATATTTTTAAGGCAAAAATTAGAAAGCAAAACGTTAATACAACTAAGTCCTCATACCTATTTTAATTTTTGGGTGTGAAACATGACCACTGAGAGTAGAAGATATTTGTAGATCAACAGTATTTGATCATAAGTGTCTTGGATCATTGCTTGTATATTTTGAAACCACTAGGTAAGCAGTGACTGGGTCAAAGATAGGGTACTAAATAAATATGGCAGCTCGATTGATGAGGCAGTAAACCTTCATCAACTGGGATGGTTGGGACAAATATTACGTGTGTTTAACCACCCTCTACCTCGACGGGCGATGTTGTGTGGTGTAGGAGTGAGTCGGAAGAAATCTAGGGCTGCCAAATCAAGACGTGGGGCCAGTTTACGAAGTCACTGACAATCAAAGTTATGTTAATAGGTATAAACTACCTGGCTGAGAACTGTGTGGTTATCGTAATCAGTGGTTAGAGACTTTGAATGGTATGGTTCAAAATCGTTTGGGATGACGCAGATTCATCCATTCTTTGTCTCCCCTTAGATCCCAAGCTTCTAAATTCCCCATAATTATTTTGTTTTACTAATTTATATTCTCTTGATTTGCACCTCCGACGCCTAATCTTTTCTGTTACTACTACCGTTGTTACTTCCAATATACTGGGATTTGGTCTGATAATTTCATTTCCATATACTAATGGATATGGTAACTTGCATACACGTGCTACGTTCTACTCTGCGACTGACTGGTTGACTTTCAATGAGGATCTGCACCGAACAATCTTATTTCTGGAGAGAAATTTCAATATCCCAAGGTTCGCATGGTGAGAGTTCACGGAAAAATTAGAAACCAATAACTTTACAGTTGATACCATACCTGATTTTGGTACATTAATACTGTTTATTAACTCCGCCTGTTGCTCCTCCGAGGGTTACTGCCGGTCCCAAACCCGGGTAAAGGAGGAGGGTTGGGCATGGGGTTAGCGACCCTATCCCGTAGAAAACCAACTCGCTAAAGACGCTAACCAGAAAAAATTATTCAAACAATTTAAACTGTGCTCTGGGAGTAGAAGGAATAATGACGTCTCATGATGAAAGCCGAGTTCCTTCGGAAGTCATGAGGCTGACGCTGCTTTTAACAACAATGTGGGAGACCGGAAGAGTCTTCCAAATTGCTGCAGAAATGAGAAAATACAACCTGGAGGTGCTTGGAATCAGTGAAACACATTGGACGTAGGTTGGACAACAACGACTATCTTCAGGGGAACTTATGTTATAATCCCGTCATGAAGTAGAAAATGACCCACATACACAAGGAGTGGCATTGATGCTGTCCAGAAAAGTACAGAATGCACTTATTGGATGGGAATCTCATGGACCAAGGATCATCAAAGCCTCCTTCAAAACAAAGAGAGAGGGCATTACAATGAACGTCATCCAATACTATGCGCCTACCAATGACTACGATGAAGACGCTAAAGACCAATTCTACGATAGGTTGCAATCTATCTTCGAGAAATGCCCAACCAAGGACTTGACAATTCTGATGGGAGATCTCAATGCTAAGGTTGGAATGGACAACACTGGATACGAAGACGTCATGGGACAACATGAACTGGGAGAAAGGAACGAAAATGGTGAAAGATTTGCAAACCCATATGCCTTCAATAAACTGGTCGTAGATGGCACCATATTCCCACACAAGCGCATACACAAAGCTACATGGATCTCACCGGACCAAACCACAGAGAACCAGATAGATCACATCTGTATCAACAAAAATTCCGAAGGTCAATGGAAGATGTGAGAACCCGGAGAGGAGCTAACATAGCTTCAGATCACCACCTGGTTGTGGCCAAGATGGGGCTCAAGCTAAAGAAACACTGGACAACTGGACAAACAGCACTACAAAGGTTCAATACAGCCTTCCTTCAAGATACTGGCAAGCCCCACGAATTCAAGATAACTCTCAACAACAGGTTCCAAGCTCTACAGGATCTACTGAAAGAACAAGAAACTACGATGGAGAACAACTGGAAAAAGATCAAAGAAGCACTTACTTCAACGTGTCAGGAGGTTCTGGGCTGCAAAACACATCATCACAAGGAGTGGATCTCTATGGGAACCCTCAATAAGATTCAAGAAAGGAAGAACAAGAAACTAGCAATTAACAACAGCCGAACACGAGCAGAGAAAGTCAAAGCACAAGCAGACTACGCAGAAGCAAACAAGGAAGTGAAGAAAAGCATTAAGGCCGACAAGCAGAAATACATGGGAGAACTAGCAACGACGGAGGAAACAGCCGCAAGAGAAGGGAATATGAAACAACTATATGATACAACGAAGAAATTGGCGGGGAGATATAGTAAACAAGAGAGACCATTCAAGGACAAAAAAGGAAAGACAATCACAGAGGTTCAAGAACAGAGGAAAGATAGGCATAATACTTCGAAGAACTTCTGAATAGACTAGCCCCATTGAATGCACCGGACATCGAAGCAGCACACACTGACCTTCTTATAGATGTCACTCCACCAACGATCGAAGAAGTCAAGATGGACACCAGATAAATCAAAAGTGGGAAGGCGGCAGGACCTAACAATATACCAGCTGAAGCACTGAAGTCAGATATAGAAGTAACTGTAAACATGCTTCACCTTCTGTTCAAGAAGATTTGGGAAGAGTAACAAGCGCCAACGGACTGGAAAGAAAGATACCTCATCAAGATACCAAAGAAGGGAGATCTGAGCAAATGTGAGAATTACAGAGGCATCAGTTTGCTATCAGTACCAGGAAAAATTTTCAACAGAGTGCTGCTGAATCGGATGAAAGACGCAGTAGACGCCCAACTTCGAGATCAACAGGCTGGCATCCGTAAGGATAGGTCGAGCACTGACCAAATGGCGACACTACGGATCATCGTAGAACAATTAGTTGAGTGGAACTCATCACTATACGACAACTTCGTTGACTATGAGAATGCGTTTGACAGGGGAACATTATGGAAACTACTTCGACACTATGAAGTTCCTAAAAAGATTGTCAACATTACCCAAAATTCATACGATGGACTACAGTGCAAAGTGGTGCATGGAGGACAGCTGACAGATGCATTTTCAGTAAGGATAGGAGTCAGACAAGGCTGTCTACTCTCCCCATTCCTCTTCCTTCTGCTGATTGACTGGATTATGAAGACTTCGACATCTGAGGGGAAATACGGAATACAATGGACTTCTCAGAATCAATTAGATGATTTGGACTTCGCAGACGACCTATCCCTCCTCTCTCATACACACGAACAAATACAGATGGAGACAGCAAATGTAGCAGCAGCCTCTGCATCGATAGGCCTCCACATTCACAAAGGAAAAAGCAAGATTCTCAAATGCAACACGGAGAACACCAACCCAATCACACTTGATGGAGAAACTCTGAAAGAGGTGGAAACATTCACGTACCTGGGAAGCATCGTTGATAAACAAGGAGGATCGGATGCAGATGTAAAGGCGAGGATAAGTAAACCAAGGGCAGCATTTTTACAATTGAAGAACATATGGAACTCAAAACAACTGTCAACTAATTTCAAGGTTAGAATCTTTAATACGAACGTCAAGACAGTCCTACTGTACGTAGAGAACTACCACAACTATCATCAGGAAGGTACAAGTATTTATAAATAGTTGTTTACGCAAAATATTCAACATCCATTGGCCAGATACTATCAGCAACAGCGTTTTATGGGAGAGGACAAACCGGCTTCCAGCTGAAGAGGAAATTAGGAAAAGGCGTTGGAAGTGGATCGGACATACATTAGGGAAATCACCAATGTGCATTACAAGGCAATCCCTAACTTGGAATCCGGAAAGGAAGCGGAAAAGAGGAAGGCCAAAGAACACATTACGCCGGGAAATAGAAGGAGATATGAAAAGGATGAATTACAATTGGAAAGGAAGGCTCAGGACAGAGTTGGATGGAGAATGCTGGTGAGCGGCCTATGCTCCTCCACAAGGGGTAACAGGCGTAAGTAAGTAAGTAAGTTCAATACTGTTTATTACACCAGTAATGTGAACGTAATAACAAAGAAATAAATCTTGATTGTATTTTTAGTCAAACTACGCCTATGAAATATTTTACTCTCCTTCTGTACAAATTTGTCTCTTATATTGTCATAGTAATATCGTTTTGTTTAATTTGGTAGAATTCTTGATATATTAACGAATTCGATATTTCTATGCCATTCATAGAAACTTAATTTGTCTGTCATACGTGCAACAACTAAAGTGGATAAATCAACTAATGAAATGTATTTGGGTGACTGAAACGTCAGTAACTAGAGCTGAGATACTATCTGGGTCAAGTGGTTGTCTACAGATTAAAGCACCTGAATTTTAGCCACTATAGCCCAAACTCGAACCCTACCATATGCACTTCAGGTAGGGCAGTCTAGAAGTATCACCTATCACCACATAGAATTTTGGCTCCCAACTGAGTATATGACTTGTACTTAAACATCGGGTTACATTATTTCAAGTCTTCGACTTAAAGCGAGAGTAAAATGGGATTAGCCAAAACAATTCATGAAGACAGTCGGTTTTTGTTCTGGAATGTTTGAACAATGTGAGGTTGGAGTTTGCAAAAGAGCAGAAAGTGATGACTAAGGACTTCGTATTATACGGATTTAAACCAGCGGTAATGAAGAATTAAACCTCTGATTAAGAAACGCTAATGTTAAGAACAATAAGTTAGGGTATCTATGATTGTAAAGAAGTGTAAGTGTTTTCTTTGGACAAGTAACATGTCAATAATTTGAAATCCAAAACTACGGAGGTTGACTAAACTTTACACCGTTTTGAAGAAAAAATGCACTAACTTAGCGAACATACAGAGCAAGAGACTAACTTAGTGTGCACCATATAGTTGGTTTACAATCGGTGTATAACGGAAAGTTTGGTTAGTTTTGACAACCAGACAAACGGAGAGAAAAACCGTCGAGACTTGATGAAAACTATAGGAAAGATCTGTATCGCTACAATATTCCAGCTTATCAACTACTATGAATTCGTTTCAAGACTGGAATAACCCAACCACTTATATTAGTAACATAACATAAAAAACTAAAATGGGCCATATCATTATACAGAAACCTATAATAACTCATTTAAGGGGATATAATACCAAAAAAAACGCACTTGCAATGCTGACCACTTACGAAAACTGTGTAGAATAGGGAATCTACTAGACACGGATTAACACAAGGATGATGTCCCAAAACTCAGAACTTTTTTTCATTTACACACAGTATTTTGAACAAAAATATAGGTTGGAGAGATTTTTGTAAAGATACCATCCCAATATAAGCGCGTGCACTAGCAGGACCACACATTCTAGATGAAACTTAATTAGCACCGTAACAGCTAACTACAAATTCAATGCGTTTCTTGTATAACACCAAACGTGAAATATCTGAATTTCGTTAGTCACTTAATTATCAGGAAAAATTCGCAAAACGAATTTCAAACACAAAGTGACTATATGTAAACCTAGTTCCTTGAGAGTCTGGGACTGATCAATGTGCTTTTCACAATACATGACTGTCCATGATAGGTTTACTCCCCACTAACAGCACTCAAGACCACTGTACCTTTAACAACACTTACTCCTCACTCCTAGATTAAGTACGTAATATATAAAATAATCCAAAAGTGAGGTCTAAAGACTGTAGGTCAAAAAGACATATTTTTCTAGACAACTAAACCCTGCCGTCACCGACAGAGACACAAAGACTAACTTACTTAGACCATTTAAGCATGTTGAGTACCTATTTTTGGAGCATCGCTTATTTCGATAACCTTGACATGATATAGATAAACAGCCTTCATTCCTAAGCAGTGATTATAGGATGTCTATCAACCTATATGATTCCTTTCAATTCGCAGTACTGTGAAGATCCAATTTCCTTTACACTGTAACAACAGAAGCTACTAATAGAGAATTCCACTACTACGCTACTAACTGAACTGCAGAACTGCAGACGTAAAAAATTTAATCTCGGTTTCTGAAATTTCTTGAAACGTCCTTAAAGTGATCAGTCTTGTATGGAAATACAAGGAGAGACTTATCACAGCATACAGTACGTCAGTGTTAGATCAACCCGTAACCTAAGGTTTGGGAGTCTCAGCTTGTCTTTTAAATGTAGGCCAGAGACAATTGTTACCATTTCAGTCCTTTATGATTGAAATCGTTCTTGTATATCCACCTTATACTAGGAACAAGGACCAGCTGCTTGAACTCCATAATCTAAATGTGGCTTAAACGCTCCAAAATATAATCAATATATTCAATCGCTATCAGCAACAGCGTTTTATGGGAGAGGACAAATCAGCTTCCAGCTGAAGAGGAAATTAGGAAAAGGCGTTGGAAGTGGATCGGACATACATTAGGGAAATCACCAATGTGCATTACAAGGCAATCCCTAACTTGGAATCCGGAAAGGAAGCGGAAAAGAGGAAGGCCAAAGAACACATTACGCCGGGAAATAGAAGGAGATATGAAAAGGATGAATTACAATTGGAAAGGAAGGCTCAGGACAGAGTTGGATGGAGAATGCTGGTGAGCGGCCTATGCTCCTCCACAAGGGGTAACAGGCGTAATTAAGTAAGTATATTCAATATCCACTGTCTTTGTCACGAGCTCTTTAAAAGCGATTAATTTATCTGCGCCTGCTTCTTGTTGTTTTGGTACGGTTTTAAGCGTTAAGTAATATCCAGCAGGTGATAGTCTAGCTACTCAACTTCAGTTTGGTAGTCATCTGTTGGTTTGCAGACCATGTAATCTCAGCCAGTGCGTTTGCCTCAGGTCAGCAAGGATTGTCGATACAAGTAGCTAATACACTACCATGAGGAGTTTCGATTGACTGAAATAGGAAACATAATACAGAGGAAATCCGAGGTTAAAAGTACGACTGTTTTGAGGACAAAATAGGTTGTAGCTGTAAATAAATCCCCCAAATCAATAGCTCTGTAAGTGTTCGACATGGGATGCTGACCACATTAATTTTATTGGACTCATTTAGCTGAGGGCGCTCGGTCATGCATCTGTACCAGATTACGTTTCGGGACGGCGTGTGTAACATCTCTCGCGATCATTAGCCAGATTAGATCGGTCAGTTCTCGATATGTTGATAAGCCATCAAATATATCTTTCAACCTCCTCGCTTCTGACTTTTGATTTCACCGGGTGGGCGCGATTCGATTACAGAAGGTGATACTGGTAAAATGTTGTCAAAATACAATACCTGTGGGATCTTCAAGGTAAATAAGCTAAGTATTTGGTATTGAAGACAGCGTGAGAGGACTGAAATGTAAGGACAAAAGGGGAAAAGGAAATAATAGCATACGAGATAGGAATGAGGTAACGACATATGACAGTGATAATGCCAGATAAGTTACGAGACAAACATCAGGGATAACTAATCCAAGTGAGAGAAGGTAATCCATGGGTGGGTATACGTTTCTCAAGTCTCCTCTTGGGACTATCCGCTGAGGAGGCTTTGGTCACCTCGGCTGAGAGAGCGTTCTAAAAGAGATTGACTCTTGATGGTAGAAGGTGGAAGCTCTTCGACCTGAAACTTTTCGGGTGTTATCCAGAGAAGCGTGGTGGTGATGTTCTGGTAGGACGCTTGTTCAACTCCGAAAATTTAAAACAAATCCCGTACAACGAACTATCGATAAAGCATGGGGTTGTGGAGATTGTTATGCACCTCTGGCACTAAGTGAACGGTAAAATATTCAAAGGCTCTAGATCTTTCACTTTTGTTATAGATAGTCAACCTGAAAACAGTCATGCGACTGGAAGTATTTCACATGACATCTAGAAGTGGTGCGTCATGCAGTGCATTTCATGTTTCCTCAGTGGCTAGATAAGGCATTTTAGTGGATCACTTTAATATGGCGTATACATTACCCCATAAAGTTAGATCGGTTGCAACTTTCTTAAGTCATTTGTTTGTCTGCGTTGCGTCACATAACACAAGCTAACATGCTATGTTGGATACCAAATAGTGGTGTGATAAACAAGATATAGATCAAATAACTTCTTATAAGAAAAATCATTTTATTGTAAGATACACTGGAAATTCCAATAAAAAAATTTAACATTATAAGTGGCAGTTGTATGCCAATAAGTAGCTGTGGTGTTATTGAGCCCTAATCACACAACTCTCAAAGCTGAACATGAGACATCAGGGAAAATAAATCTTCAACATTTGATCCGGAGAAAACCAAACAACAGAGAAGGTGGGAAGAATTAATTCATTTCATCGGATGGCATGGCTAAGCCTTGTAAGCGTGGTTCCCCTTGCGTATCGTCTTATCTCTTTTAGTCATATTAAATATATTCTTCTATCTCCAGCATAAATATGTTCTTTATCATATATTGGTGATTATTAGGATGTGGTGAGTTGGTGTAGACAATGATGTGATCCCCACGTAAGATCTTGTAGATTGAGCTGTTACATCTTGACATACCTACAATTTTAGAATCAAGTCTATTATAAGAGCAGTACTAATAACGAAACATACCATAATTCTACATAACAATGCAACATCCCTGTAGCAGAACACGATAGATGGTGTATCTTTTCCACAGCAATCTTTCAACTTTCCTGGAAACTATGCACTTTTGCCCCAAAGATTACGTCCGTTCATTTCAAATCGGTGGTGTTTCCTCGTGATCGCGGGCTGATGTACTTTGTGTGTCAACATCTATCGTTTAATTTCCATTGTTTACAGCTGCTCAACCCTTCAGTATCAAATAGTCGAGAGTTCTGGAAAACCTGAACATGTGCTCACTTCTCTGTTCCCTCACTGTGTGTTTTGGTAAACACGTGCAAACGGACACTTACATTTGAAGGCACTGGTGAAAGAGGACTCGTGTTTTCTTTGCTTTAGCATTTTTATATATAGTTTGATCAACCTTTTAATTTAGTAGTCGATCTTTATTTAATTATTTATTCCCTGACCATATTTTTAATTAGCTTCAACTCCATTGAACCGGAGATGAAGAAATAAGGTTGTCTTCTCAGTTTTGCCACTTTCAGAAAATCTGTCATTGGGTTTCTTCCGGTATGTATTTTCACATAGACGTTTTCTAATAGCCAAGTTTATCATCTGACCTTTTCTTGGTGGAAAGTCTATGACCACTACCGGAAGGTTTCGTGTTATCTCTTTTTATTTCTTATTTAACAAAATCTCTTGAAGTTAATAAAAATCCGCCACAGAGATGACTGACCTTGTTTGTAGAAATCATCGCTAAACACATTGATATTTGATAGGCGACACAATCCATTTTCGGATAGAAAATCATCAAGGAGACTTTTGAACCGGGTTGTAGTTTCACTGCATCGGAGGTTTACTGGCAGTCTGTTCCGCATGGTTGAGTAGGGAATAACGAAAAATTCTGGTGTACGTTTGTGTAGGTTTTCGGAATCGCTAGAATATTTTTCTTATTGAGTATGTTGTGGGATGATATCACAGAATACGGAGGAGTGGATACCGAAGAGTAAGAAATACTCTGAATAAGCCGGTAGATATGGACAAGGTTTAATTTCATACGCTTGATCCAGAGAGGTTCTAATTTAAGTTGTTGACATTTTTGGTCATAAATTTTGTTATCGGAATACCCCAAAACAACTTAAGTTAACCTTCTTTTAACACCTCCAATTTTGATCAGATCATTATGCCTGCAATTACTGTAAACAAAAATACCATATTCAAGAATGGGTAATACACATTCCTCGCATAGTAATAATCTGGACTGGATGTTATTGAAGTCTAACATTATGAATTCAATGAGCTTTCCAACTTTGTATACTTGGGATGCCATGTGCTGGAAAAAGTTTAAACTGTTTCTATATCTCAAGTCGCAGTATTGAGATGTTTCACTATATGTTTGTGTATAGCCAAATGGAGGTTAAGGCAGTGGCCAATGTGATCAACATTTGGTGGTAGGTCACAAGACACTGTACATTCTTACAACTTATTTATTTCTTCATAGATTGCCTCTGAAGTATAGCTTTCTTTGATGGGAGAAGACAACGAATAAACCACTTTTGGGTCACCAGCGGAAAGGAACGTTTTGCCTTATTGAAAGAGAGAACATAAGTCATTGATGAAAAGGAAATAGAGTGGTGAGCCAATCACACTTCCTTGTGTAACTCCACTAGTTACATTTACAGGCTTGGATTGGCAAGATACAAAGCAGACAATTCGACTACCTTCTATTAGAAAAGACTTGAGCCAAGATAATAGGGGAGTCTGTATGCCAAATGCAGAGAGTTTTAAAAGTTTGTGTGAGTACAGAATTATCACTGATTGATTAACATCTCTTCTCTGGGTAATTTGATCAAAAATAGCAGGTGCGATGTGAAGCATGAGCGTTTAGTCATAAATCCGTGTTGGAATGGGCTTGTCAGGCCAGCTGAAAGTAAAAACGATAGTAGCCGTTTGTGGATGATATTTTCCATGGTGCTTAATAGCACAGATGTCAAATTATTGGGTCTATAGTTAGCAATATCACCACGTGATCCCGTTTTGAATCTAGGGATGATAAGAGATGTTCTCCATACAGATGGATAAACTCCATATTCCACAGATTGTTTGCACAATTTCAAAAGGAATATTAGGAATTCTCTACTATCATATTTCACAAATGATGAAGGAAACCCGTCAGGTCTACCGTCACAATACTTTTTAAGGGCTTGATGCTGGTGGCTATGAAATCAATTTTGGATAGATATCTAGATATCAACATTGTAAATGTATTAATAGATATTTCAGCTTCAGTGTCCTAGCATTGCAAGAAATGATGA